TCAAAGTGTGCTGTACATACATTCACTAGTGTGCAGCCACCACCAACCCATCCCTAGAACTTTTTCATCATCCCAAACTGATACTCTGTCCTCATGAAACAACTCTGTTACGTCCCCTCCACCAGCCCCAGGCCCTAGCAACTGCCATCCTGCTTTGTCTCAATGAGTTTGACTTCTTCAGAGACCTCATATAAGTGGAATCATGCAGTCTCTGTCTTTTTGTGACTGGCTTATTTCACTTAACGTGATGTCCTCAAGGCTCATCCATATTGTAGCATGTGTTAGAGTTTCCTCATTAAGACTTAATATTAAGACAATACTCCACGGGATTCATGTGTATACCACATTTTGTATATCCACTCATCCACAGATGGAAAACATTTTTTCCTAGGGCTAAGAATGTTATCACCGCCAGTGTGCTCTGTGAAGCATGATGGTGTCTCTGAAGCAGATTGGCAGTCAGCAAGCCTGCCCTTTACTCCGGCCTCAGGCTATTTTGCTGTGTGGCCTTAAATAAGCTGCTTGCTCTCTCTGAGCGATGGTGGCTTCATCTGTAAAAGAAAGAGATGAGGTTCAGGTGATAGATGTGCTCACAAGATCTTGTCCCCTCTGAAAGCTGCTTTCACATAATTGGAAGCTGCTGGCTTTATGTAGTTTACCTTTAATGCCCGCCATAGCTTAATTGTCCATTATTTTGAGAAAATGTTTTCCCTTGCTCTCTAACCTAGCTATTTAGGTCATTTACATTTTTTTTTTCCCATTTAGACTGTGGTGCCTCACAACTGCAGGCAGTTTTGTCTTTTCAGTTTTATATGTTGAAATGCCCCAGTTACTAGTAGAGATCTGTCATTGTCCTCTAAATTGTTTAATGACCAATTATTTGATGTTCACTCAGAAATTGAGCCCAAATTCAGGAATAATTTAGGACTAGAAAGCTGCCCTCCTCCCATTTCATGGCTAAGTTCAGGAGCTATGGAAAAAAACAATTTTAAAATTGATGCATTAAAAAGACTCTCTTTGAAAGAGGAAACTTTCTCAAATGGGAAGAGAGATTAGTAGGAATAACATGTTACACTGTCTGTAAATCTTGATCTTTCCACGGGTTGGTTTTATCCCACCAGCATTTCTGGAAGAGTGCAGGAAGTGACCCCACCCCATTTAATTCTTGAATGAATTAAAATTCATTAGTGTAAGCTCTGTATATTGAGTTGTGGGTTGTGAACATTTGGAAACTAGCATTTTTTCCCTTTCTGAATTGCCTTCTGTTTAGACAGGGTTTAGTAAAACCAGCAGCTAAACCAAGGAAAATACTACCATTTTTAGAGCAGAGGAGCCATACAACTTAATGGATCGTGTGGGACACAGGCCAAATAATTCAGACCCGCCCACAGCAGAGAGAAAGGGCTTTGCTCCAACCTGTTTCTGCCTCTTCCAGGTGATTTCCAGGTCTCCTCATTCAACCACATCTTTCTTCCAGGATTCGGTTCCTGTGGATTTAACAGTGTTAGGTTTGTTATGGAAGGACAATAGGCTGCTGTCATGACAACCCTGATCCCCCTTTGCTGCTTCAAGGTGGATAAATGTGTCCCACGCAGTGAGGGAGGGAACCAGCTTGTAGCTCTCCACCTGGCCACATCCTGGGGGCAGCTGGACAATGAGTGGACATGTCCAGGAGCTGCCCACAGCAGGGCCGCAGCCTGTGTGTGTGCGGGACAAGTTCTGGGAACACCAGAGATGGGAGGGAGTCCCACCCCATCCTTGCAGCCTGCACAGCCTGGACTTCTCAGTGGAGGAGGGATTGTGACCTGGGGGGTTCCTTGAGGACCCCGGATGGGGCAGCTTCTTATCTCCATACCTACCTCCCCTTTCAAAGCTCTATGATATAGAGGGTTTCCTGCCTTCTCAGGAACTGGATCTGCGTGTTCTGTCCTGTTCCTCCTGAGGCCCTAGGGGAGATGGGATTGCCCAAGGTAGAATCAGCCAACCTAAGTTTGGAAAGCCCAGAAACATCAATCCTGTGGGTCCCTGCCCTACTCCAATCGCAACTGCCACCATCCTTAGGCCTCTGGGGTTCATGATGGCTCTGGGTAGAGAACTCAGAATTCCTGGTACCCAGGCCTCCCTTCCCAGTAAGGCTGGGGGTGAAGGTAAGGGAGCCTGACTGATCAGAAGACAGAAGGTAGGGCAAGCAGAGCACAGGGCACAATGGTCCAAGGGAAGGGAAGTTGGAGAACCCAGGTGCTTAGTGGCTGGAGGAAGGTACCCAATCTTACATTGCCGCCCAGGCCTTGGGTCTATGCACAGAGCCACATGTGTGCACACCCTCCCTTACCGCTCCAGCACCAGCACATCCCAGTCACTGTCACGAGGCTGGTGTTGGGGACAATGAAATAAATGATTCATCTTGCTGTTGAATAGACCGTGAGGGACAAACACTTTTTGTGACGGGGAGAGGGTATCATTTACATTTACCTGCAAGGTCACTCAGACAGAGAAGCTGAAGAGGACTTCTGGAAGGCTGTGGATGGCTCAGATAGGGAAAGGGTCTAATCCAGTCACACCAGTTGAGCCTTCCCAGACTAGAGTTGCTACTACTGCCTCCCCTCACCGCAAAGCATGTGTAGTGGGATGGAGTGGGGTTGGAAGTATTAGGACTGGAGCCTGTTCCAAGTTGAAGTGGTTAATCAAGAGTTACAGAAGTTTCTGGGAGGTCAGAGTTATGGGTACTAGTCTGGAGCCCCACGTGGTTGGATTTGATTCTTTGTTCTAGAGCACTCTGAGAAGGTGGGTATAGGCCCTGGAATCTCAGAAAGTCAAAGCCAGTGGGATGATGCCTTTGTTCTGTGTCCCTGGCCCTCGGACCTCTGATGAGGTGGTCCCAGCTCAGGGACACTGGGGCTGGCTTCTAACGGTACCTTGATGCTGGCTAAGGGCAGGGGTGCTGGTGGTAGGGCTTTACCTTGCAGGACTTTGTCGCGGGGCCAGGAGTGGGGTACTCCTAGATTCCAATATGGCTGTGCCCCCCTTAGAAGTCCTGGCTCCTGCTTCTGGCGTAGAGCTGGCCAGCACAGTCCAGGGATGAGGTAGAGAAAGACAAGTTTTATATCTACTATTTTTGGAGTCCCCATGACAAAGGAGACCTTGAGACTGTTTCCTTTAAAACATGAAAGATTCCTACAGAATTCTTATTCATGTCATAAATTTATGAGGCCTGAACTGGTGTGTCCTGCACTGTAGCTTCCTTCAGCTGGTGGGGACTGAATTTTCTTTGTTTCATTTGCTTGAGAGTTACAGTTGAGTATTTAACCTCTCAAGTCAGTGGGGGTGGATATGCTTTTTTGCCAGACCTTCCAAATTTAATATAACTGTTTGTTCAGTTTGGGACATTTTGATCCTTCTTGCCATTGTGCTGTTTGATGTAGGTTTATTATTAATTTTTATTATTTCTTGCTATCAGACAGTTTGATGCACGATCTCTTTATGACTTTGCACAAGCCCCACTCCCAGCCCGGGTGCAAGATTTTGCAGAGAACAGGCGAGTTCCATCGTCCCTAGGTTGCTTTCTGGCAAGGCCTGAGTTCTTCTTGTAATAACAGGACAAGGCGGGAGGAACTGATTTAGCCCTTGCAGGGAAGAGGAGTAACTCAATTGACATTCCGCTGTAATTTAGCAGTCGGTTAATGGCCACTTACTGGAAAATGTTACCAGGCTTTGTGGTGAGTGTTGTTAGAAACTGAATTACTCTGTGTATTTCCCTAGGGCCCTCTAGAGAAGCTCGGGGCTGCAGGAAGTGGCATTGTGTTGCAATCACAGCTTCATTGTTCCTTCATATTATTTATTTTGTTTCAAAATTAAGTATATTGCCTTTAATGGTACCAGACACTTGCCAAGAGCCCAGAGGTGACATGGGGGGGGGGGATCACTGGGTTATTTTGTTGGGTCGCCCGGGGCCTGCAGGTGCTGAGGGACAGCCACGAGCCCGCGTCTGGCAATGTAATTAATTTGAGTCATCTGACTGAACGTCCCTCTGTCTCTATGTCTTTACCCATGTGATTATTTCAGCTGGCTGGTCACGTCCTTGGTTTTGTGTGATCACTCACTCCGTAGATCCTTTGATAGGCCATAGGGGTGAACTAAGGTGAATCTAGGCTTTGCCATTTACTAGCTCTGTGACGTTGGGTGATTCACCTAACCTCTCTGAGCCTCACGGTTTTGCCTGTTAACGGATAGCAATATGGGTTCCCAGGGAAGAGGGATTGATGACGTGGCCTGCGTGGATGTAGCTGATCATTCTTCCTTCCAACTTAAAAGTAAAACAGTGACACCGAATGCTCCTTTGTCGGGTCAGAGTGTTGGGAACTGTGAGGACATGAACTTAACCATTTGTGTTTATCTTGACCCGGAGAGATTGCCCCTTTTACGGAAGGTGGAGGTGTTAGCATGTTGCGTGCACCGTGGGGGATAGTGTGACCCAGTCCAGGAGCGGGTGTTGTGGGGGCCCATCTCCCTGTGGCCCCAGGCCCCTCTGGCTGGTTTCTGGTCCGATGGCAGAGACCCTCTCGCCTCCAGCCCTGTGGAGTGTGGTGTTGGGAGGTGTGGTTATCTTCCAGGAGACTCCACACAGGGATGGCCACATCGCGCCCTTTCTGGGTCATGGCTTCGGCTCCTTTTCCTACTGAGGCTCTCCGTCCTTTCTGAAGTAAATGAAATAATCGTCACCAGCCTCCCACTTAATGACCACGGCTGCCGCTCCCCTTTCCCCACATGTGTGGAGGAAGTCGGCCGGGGCACTTGGCAGCCTCACGGCCTGATGGCACCAGAGCCTGGATTTTTGAGGTCTGGTGGATTCCCGAGACTTGCCTTCCGCGCCCCGGGCTGGAAGGTGTCCCTGGGCCCAGCCCGCGGCGGCGCAGGGAGGTGGCCAGCGCTCGCGGCTCCTACACACGACCGGCACACACTGACGAGGCTGTGGTTTGCTTCTTCCCTTCCCTGCCCTCCAGAGTATAAGAAGAAGTACGGCGAGGAACACGGCTCCTGCCAGGCTGGGATAGCAGGCGTCCTCACCGAGGTGGGTGTCGCTCTCGGGCCTTCTCCCTTGCTGCCGCTCATTTCCTGGCTGTGGTCTCAGGAGCTTCTTGAGCTGGGCCTGCTGATGCCCCCGCATACTTGAGCTGTGACTGGGGGTGGATTCTGATCCCCGGATGCGATATCCAGGGAAGGTTTGTTTTTTTTTTTAATGATAAATTTATTTTTTATTGGTGTTCAATTTGCCAACATATAGAATAACACCCAGTGCACATCCCGTCAAGCGCCCCCCTCAGTGCCCATCACCCAGTCACCCCCACCCCCCCGCCCACCTCCCCTTCCACCACCCCTAGTTCGTTTCCTAGAGTTAGGAGTCTTCATGTTCTGTCTGAAAGGGAAGGTTATTGACATTGGTGGGCACCTGCTGGCCAGAGGCCCCTGGGGGAGAATGGGTGGGCTCATTTGGAGGATGCACCTCTTTGGACAGTTTCTCTAAAGAGTCTTCTTGACCCTGAGACCCATGGAAGGAACTGATTCAAGAGGGTGCAGGGGAGACGGTGCTCAGTCACCTTTGTGTCTCATTGCTGGCAGTGAGGAGGATATATTAAGCATCACCTCCTACCATCCTTCCTTCCTTCCTAGGTGGAGAAATGTTATGGTTTTATACATAACTCAGCCAGCCCCTTCCCCACATTCCAAAGGACTGTGGGCTTGAATACTTCTGTACCTGTGCAGTCATACCACGATCTTTGGTTGGTGGTACAACGTTAGGGACTGTTCTTAAGTGATGCTTACCTACTGTGAGTTCACTCTTCACATCAACCCCTGATTTCTCAAGTTGCCTTCTGTGTACAAAGCTCCATGTCAGGTCCTATAAGTGGCTTTGGCATCCATGTAGTTGCTCAGGCCCTTCAAAAAAGTACTTTTTATTTCTGATTCATCTGCAATCCTATTATTTTAACCTCCTAAGCATGTCCCAAATGTGACAGCTTTAATTCCCCACCACCATCATCCTTCTGGAAAAGCCATTGTCATCGCCTGGAGATACATATTCTGGTCTCGAACTGATCTCCCTGCGTTTGTTTTGTTTTGTTTCATTTTGTATTTTTTTTTTTTTTGCTTTTGTAATAAAATACACATAACATGAAATTGACCATTTTGACCATTTGGAAGCAAACAATCCAGTGATATTTAGTACATTCACAGTGTTGTGCAACCACAGCCTCTCTAGCTTGAGAACATTCCCGTCACCTCCATGTACATCTGTTCTCCACCCCCACCCTGTGTTTTCTACACACCAGCCTGAGGAATCTTTCAAAATCAAACCCTATCATTCTGACTCTGTGGCTTCCCATCACACGGTAGATTAAAATCCAAACTCTGTGTCTTGGCTCATGGGCCTGGCTTTCTGACATTCTCTCTCTTCCTCTTGCTCCAGGATAGCAGAGAGCTGCGGGAGGGGACACCCACCGGTGTCCAGAGCTTTCTGATCTGAAGCAAAGCTGCCCACCTTGACTTCTGTTACTGCTATTTAAATTCAGAAAATAGCAATGCAACATCGAATTCACAAAGCAACATGGAAAGGGTAGAGAAGTCAGAAATGCCATCTTTCACTCTCAGACCAATAAATACAAGATGCTTCTTTCTGTTCCTGCAGTCTGCACCCTCTAATTCTTACTATATCCATTCGCTGTCACTTTTGTAAGATCCTTATGACCATCTACACAGAATTCCATGGGAGGCCTGGTGGATGGTGCCACCCATCGTCCTCACTGCTCAGGCCCAAAAGAACAAGATTCCTCTCTTATTTCCTCTCCTGCATCCAGACCATCAGGGACTCCCACTTCCTGTGCTCCCCAATCCTATCCCAGAGGCCTCCATTTCTCTCTACCTCTGCTGCCACCTCCAAACCTAGGGCACCACTGCAGGACCCTCCTAATTTCCTGCTCCCACCCTGCCTCGAGGCAGCCTCTTCCCATGCAACTGCCACAACTACCTCCTAGAAATGAGAAAAATATTGTGGTGCTCCTTTGCCCAGAACCTTTTGTATCCCCCTCATACTTACAATAAGATCCAGACTCCTCTACATGGTTGCCCAGGTCTTCCTACCTTTCCTGCCTTACCCGTTATCTGGCCTCCTGGTCTCTCTGCCTCCAGCCTCAGATAGTTGGGACTTATGCTGGAACATACCAGATTCACTGGCAGCATTGAGCTGGAGGTCCCCCCACATGGCATTTTTGTGCACAAGTTCACACTTCTGCAGAAGAGAAATGTGGTAGAGGACTCCAAAGCTATTCAAACTTTGAATTTGGGTACATTCTGAAAAATTGTACTCCAGAAGTGTTTGCCAGCTAACAGCCACCCCCCACATTGTTGTGTCATTGATCCTACAGTCTCTCACCAGTATCTGTTTTTGTCATAATGAAAAGGTACCTCATTTTGCTTTAATCTCCCTTTATCTGAGTATTAATGTAGTTCAGTATTCTTCAAATGTTAGCCATTTGTATTTTTCTAGAAATTGCCTGTTTTTGTTCTTGGTTCATTGTTCTGTTCTTTTTTTCTTTTCTTTTTTTTAAGATATTATTTATTTGATAGACAGAGGTAGCAAGAGAGGGCATGAGCAGGGAGGAGAGGGAGAAGCAGGTTCCCTGCTGAGCCCCAAGCCCAACATGGGGCCCAATCCCAGGACCCCAGGATCATGACCTGAGCTGAAGACAGATACTTAACCAACTGAGCCACCCAGGCACCCCATTTTTTTCTTTTTTTTTTTTTTTTTTGATTAGCTGATTTTTAGAAACTTGTAAGATAGTTTCAACACTAATCTCTCATCTCTTATATGTATTGTAAATTTTTTTTACCAGTCCAAGTTTGCTTATGGTGTCTTTATAGTACTGCCATCACACATTCATGTTTGTCAAATGTATCAATCATTTTCTCTCTGGATTCTAGACTCTCAGAAAGGTCATCCCTCTCCTAAGAATACGAAATATCCACCTATATCTTCTTATAGTTTTATAGGTTTTCTTATAGTTTTATAGTATAGGTATACTTTTATAGGTTTTTAAAGAAAGATTTATCTCTTTAGTACATCTTGGGTTTCTTTTTGCAAACATTATATGGTAGAAACAAACTCCATTATTTTCCTAAATGTGTAGGTGATTATTTTATCCTCCCCATTGATTTGAAATACCATCCTGCCATATACCAGGCTCACATTCTTCTTCCATCTGTATGCACATTTAGGTTTTTTAACTTCTGTGGCTGTCACTTCTCTGGTAGGGTCTAGCAAAGTCTGACTCAGCCCAGGAGGCAAGAGGGTACCACTGTAAGTCCACAAGCAGGTGATGGACACCATGGATGGCAGTGCTGAGAGGGAGAGGTTGTATGGGCTGCTGTGCCCAGGACTTTAAAAGTGGGAGTGCCTGGGGGGAGGCTGTGATGTGGTCTAGCTACAAAACAACAGGGCAGGAAGAAAAAAATGCTCAGGGGAATTGGAGACTATTAAGACAGTATCAGTGGGCTGGGTTACTAGAGGCCTATGGGTTGGAGGAAGTAGGTTGTGAGCCAGGGTTCTAGAGAACAGTGGGGCCCCAGTGGCAAAAAGGCGGTCTAGAGAAGAATCACTGGGGGAGGTAAACGAATGGGTCTGCTTTCAACACGTGCAGTGTGAGGTGATAGATGGGACACTCATAGGTGTTTTAATTTTTTTTTTATTATTATTTTAAAAATATTTTATTTAGAGCAGCCCGGGTGGCTCAGCGGTTTAGCACCGCCTTCAGCCCAGGGCGTGATCCTGGAGACCTGAGATCGAGTCCCATATTGGGCTCTCTGCATGGAGCCTGCTTCTCCCTCTGCCTGTGTCTCTGCCTCTCTCTCTCTCTCTGTGTGTGTGTGTGTCTCTCATGAATAAATAAATAAAATCTTTAAAAATATATATTTTATTTAAATTCAATTTGTCAACATATAGTATAACACCCAGTGCTCATCTCATAATGTGTCATAGGTGTTTTTAGAAGATGTTTGGATATAGGGACCAGAACCCCACCTGAGTTGGAAACCCTGATTTGGTCATTGCTAGTACCTCTTTGAGGGGACTGGGTGTGCTCAGCATGGAGTTGGGGGTGGGGTGGGGAGAAGGCTCCTCCTTTTGACAGTGGGAGGAGAAAAAGTAGACTGCAGAAATGAGAACTCATCAGAGATGTTGTTGAAGAGCTAAAGGAGAGAAGGAGCTCCCAGGGAGGAGGTGTCATTGGGGCTGGGTGGAAGGGGTGTTGGTGGGAGGAGCAGAAGGGGCAGGGGTGAAGGAGAATCCAGGTGGCTGTGCAAGCTCCAGGTGACCAGAGGAACAAGAGGACCTATTAGAACTCCAGGCTCTGGGAACCATGGAACCTCAGCATGTGCTGACTGAACAAAGAGCAGTGGGACACTCGTGGTACACAGATGGGGGGTTGTGAGGCCAGCAAGTGGGAGGCTCAGTCCTTTGACCCAGCCACTGCCTCCTGGCTGCCCTGGGCTTTGGCCTTCTGAAACAAGAGGTATTTGAACTCGCTGTCTCTTGTTTCTGGAACTTCAGCTACTGGCGATTGAACAGGAAATGTGTTTGCAGGGGTCAGGCAACACTTCTCCCCTCCCATGCCCTCCTGCTGACCTCATTACTTGGGCTTGCTTTGGTTGTGGGCTGGCGGTCCCTGCACAGGGCAGGCAGCTACCTTTCCAGCTGGATGTGGCTCTGTGGCCTTTTGGACATGGCCATGCGGCCCTGAGTACTCTGGCCCCAGGTGCCTGCCTGCCCTGATGGTCATGACCTAGGGGTTACCAAAGCTATTTGAGCTACAGATGCCATGTAAGCTTTAGCCTGTCACTGAGGATAAAGGAGAGCTTCCTGGGAACTTTATTTTTGTAGCCTAGGAGGATAGAGACAGATAGTTGTGCGTAGCAAGAGAAGACAGAGCACTCCGCCAGCTTTGGAGCACTACCGTGGGAGCCCGGGGCGCAGACTTCTGCTGTAGATGCCAAGTGCCCCTCTGCCCCCCACCCCCTGCTATGCTGCCTTGCAGGGGCATACAGAGAGAAGTCCAAGGCTCACCAGACACACCCACACACCTCCGTACTTACGGAGATTCTGCTAGTAAATGCACCTTGGGAAAAGGCCTGTACTGTTCAGGGAAGGGGTTCCACACGTGAGTTAGGTGGTGTGGCCTTTGGCTTGCAGAGAAATTAGTGTTCCTCTGCGCCATCTGCATTGGGTGGTAGCTAATAAGTATTGGTGCCACTTCCTGACCCTTGTGAACAGCATCAAAAAGATGTAGGCATCATCCCTAGTGAATGGGAAAATCAACTACAGGGAGTTCCTGGAACTCCCCACCCCTCGGCCCCAGCCCTACAGGTCTCAGGTCATCTAGATTGAACCAAGGGAGGAGTCTGAGCACAAAGAGGAGAAGGAAGACAGACAAAAGCTTTGGTTGGAGGTTTTTGAGGAGATAGATTACCTTGTCTTGTTCTCTTTGCAATGTTTGAGAGACCGGGTGTGGGGATATGTTAGATGTACAGCTCTCAATTTTTATGCTGGATTGATTTAAGTCATCAGAAAACACTGTGTCTACTACCTGGTATCCCAGAGAGCCTTTTGTGTCTCTGGCACTGCTCAGGATTTTGGCTTATGAAGAACTGCGGATGGAAAAAGCTCTACATATGGTGTGTACCACTAGTATGGAGACTATTGATTATCATGTTCTTCCATGCCCTATGCTTTTAGACACCCCATTCCAAATGCCTTTCTGAGCTCAACTCCAAGGAAAAAGTCCTTTGTCTAATGTCCCTTCTTCTTTTTTTAAAAAAAAAATTATTTATTCAAGAGACACACACATAGGCAGAGGCACAGGCAGAGGGAAAAAAGCAGGCTTCCTGCAGGGAGCCTGATGTGGCTCAAGCCCAGGACCCTGGGATCTTGATCTGAGCCAAAGGCAGGTGCTCAACCACAGAGCCACCCAGGTGCCCCTGTCTAATGTCCCTTCTAGAACTAGTATAGCTCCTTACACAGAACAGATGAGTGTAGGGGACAGGAGTGAATGAATGCACTCCCCACCTGTGTTTTTTTAGTGATGAGCTATGAGTGTAGCAAGTGATATGTTTTTATAAAACAGCGAGATGCCTCAGAGTGTCTGGTTTCTCACCTGCTCCCTTGGAGGTGGATGGGACGTCAGAATCTGAATGCAGCATTCCTCCACAGCCATTCCTGGGCTCCACCTTCCTCGATCACCAGGAACATGCCATTCAGGCAGGATCTGGTGGCTTCTCTTCTGGCTGTGCTCACACCCTACTGTTTAAATTTCTTTTGAAATGGACCACGGCACACATGGCATTCAGAACATTGTCCCAGTGCCACCATGGTCATATGCTTGCTCTCCTGCCCAGGTGCTCTTTCTTCTTTCTTTTCTTTAGATGGCTCTGGCTTTTTCAGATGGCTCTGTGGGAATTCAGTGTGACTTTATGAATTGTCATTAGAAACTCAGAGTCCTTGTAGCAAGATGTAGCTTTCAGGGACTTGTCGGAAAGCAGCAGCTTCTGACAGTGAGGCCAGCTCTGCAGAGAGGGGTCAGCCTGAAAGGATGTTTCTGAAACACAACGGTGTGGCTCAGCAGTTGAGCATCTACCTTCGGCTCCGGGCATGATCCCAGGATCCCGGATTGAGTCCCACATTGGGCTCCTTGCGGGAAGCCTGCTTCTCCCTCTGCCTGTGTCTCTCTGCCTCTCTGTGTGTGTGTCTCAGGAATGAATAAATAAAATCTTTAAAAAAAAATGTTAAAAACCATGGGGACTCTAAGGGCCAAGGGCGAGGTGGGTATGTTTTGTCACTGAGAGTCCTTGATGACATTGCGGTGTCTAGTGTCTACTCTCTGCCTGGCCTGCACCTTTGGGGTTTTTATACAACTGAGAGGTTTCCCCTAAAATTGTCTTTGTTTGGACCCTTTTGGATATAACTTTTTCTAAAATATTTTGTATGTTTCCGTGTTGCCTTACCCTGGGAATGTCATACAAAAGGACTTTATTGATCTGTCAGCTTTTCTACACAATTATAGGTGCTTAATATTATGGGATGCAAAATTAGTAATTTTGTTATGAAAATAATTTATAGTGTTTCTTATTGCAACATAGGTACTTTGGGAAATATAGATAATCAAAAGAAGGGATTCCCTGTTGGGGAAGGAAGGAATGAAAGCTTCAGCCAGGGTCACCCAGTGGGTTCAGGGAGGCAGTGGACACCTACCCTCAGTACAGCTTATACACAGCCTGTGCTCCATTTTTAACACATTGTGTGTTTTCTGAGGTGACTTCCTGTCAGCATTTAATCGTTGTTCTATAACTTTGTAAAACACAAATTTTGGGGATGAGAGACAGGGAGAGACACAGAGAAAGAGACAGAGTGATAGAAGAAGGGAGGGCAGAGGAGGGATCCCTGTAATCCTGTTACACAATGGGGAAAAAACCATAAACATTCAGGGCTAATCCTTCTGGTCTTTGTTTCATGTCTGTCTGTCTGTACATGCTTCCCCCCCCCTTTTATAAAATGTGATCGTAGTATGCATATTGTTTGGCCTCTCCTCATTAACTCAGCACTTTGCTGTCCTGTCTCAGTGCTGTTAAGCAACAGCAGTTTTACTGCTGCAGGATTCTGTTGAACGGGCGTACCATGAATTAGAATGCCAGCTGTTAGACGGTTAGATCATTTCTAGCTTCCTTTAGCACAGTGACAATGCCTCTCCTTGTGGGTGAATCCACATAGGGATCCAGGCTGACTTCCTTAGGTAGGTGCATCATTTGGAAGCACTTGGAATTCTCATCAGGATTGCTCATGGGATGGGTCTGTAGCACAGACCTGCTCTCGACCCCGTTGAGGGTACAGGGCCATTTGCCCCTAACGCAAATGCTGGAGACTGCCATGTCTTGTATTTCTGAGTCTTTTTTAAAAAAAGTATTTATTTATTTTATTTATTCTTTTAAAATTTATTTTTAAAAATTTATTCATTTTAGAGCGAGCGCACGCGTGTGAGCATGGAAACGAATGAGGGGGGCAGAGGAAGGGAATTTCAAGCAGACTCCCCACTGACACAGATTCCCAACACAGGGCTCAATGCAGGGCTTGATCCCACAACCCATGAGATCCTGATCTGAGCCAAAACCAAGAGTAGGATGCCTAAGTGACTGAGCCCCCTGGATGTTCCTCTGGGCCTGTTTTTTTTTTTTTTTTTTTTAATGAGAGACACACAGAGAGAGGCAGAGACATAGGCAGAGAGAGAAACAGGCTCCCTGTGGGGAGCCCAATTTGGCACTCAATCCCAGGATCCCGGGATCACGACTTGAGCTGAAGGCAAGATGATCAACTGCTGAGCCACCCAGATGCCTCTCTCTGCGCCTGTTTTTAAGAGCAGTGCTGTCTTTTGCTGCCAGGGGTCTCTGTCCTCTTCTTTAGTGCTCCTCTCTGCTCTCTTGATTTCGTTATGAGGTTGCCAGGGGCCACAGTGGCCCAAAAGCAAGCTTTAGAGCTATCCCTGAGAAGAATGTCCTGAGTGAGGACTGGGGACGATTTCCTTGGAGTGTTGGTACACATTTTTTTGTTTTGTTGTTTTTTTTTTTTTTTTTTTTTTTTTTTTTTTTTTTTTTTTTTTGCAAAGATACTTCTTATCTTTGTTTTCTCCTCGCTTTGTAGGAAGCAGGTGGGGGTGGGGACCAGGAAGGAGGTGGTATCTTTTCACGAGCACTGTTTCCCGGAATTCTGTGATTTAGGACAATGTGCGATATTTGTCATTTCCTTGTCTGATCTTGGTGTGAAGGTGAGGAAGTACATGTGAGCTTATCCATGGGTAGCAGAGGGGTCTGGTACGTTATCCTTGTCTTTACTCCTGATAACCGTGTGTATGTGATGGATTCCATCATGCCAGGGAATCTGGTGAAGTACTTTTCATGGCTCAGCCAAATAAAGTCCTTGGTGTGAAGTGTCTTTGCATTGGATGCAGCTGTGGTTCTTATTATATCACCTGCTCCCTTCCTCAGCATCCTTCCTGTTTATTTACCTTTGGGTCTATCTTTTGTAGGAGCTGGTGGTGATGGGTGCCCCAGGCTCATTTTATTGGGCCGGGACAGTCAAAGTGCTGAACCTTACAGACAACACCTATTTCAAACTGAACGATGAAGTGATCATGAACAGGCGGTACACTTACCTGGGTGAGTAGCTCAGGGATGTGACAGATAAGGAGGGGAAATGGGAAAAATTTTCACCTGGCTCGCCAACTATTGCTTTATGGTAGGAAGAAGAATTTGTTGGTTTTTACATTTATTGTTCTAATTAGGTGGGCTCTTAGCGAGGGTACCTTACATGGAGCCCTTCACCCAGCAGGTAGAGAACAAAGGAGGGGTCTGGATTAAAACTGTGGTGTAATCACAGAGCTGACAGTGGAACCTCCAGGGAAGCAAACATTTTCATTTCTTATTTGAGCAATTACTCAAGTTCAGATACAAAATGAGTGCAGTGGAATCCTGGTTTCCCTTGACATTTGCTTGGCTGTGGCCTCTGCTTCCTGGTCACACCACCAGTTGCAAATAGAAATAGTAAGAACCAGAAATTAGCATGACAGATGGCAGCATAATGTTGAAGGTTAATTGCAGGCTCAGGAAAATTTCTCTTATTTTCTCAACCCTTTCAACCTTCTAGAAAGAAAATAGACACAACAGCCACCAGGCAAGCATGACAGTGTACCTACTGAGGGACAGAGATAGCCTGTCTTTGCTTGTGGACCTGAAGATTTTGTGTGGCTCTTTTCCTTAGTACCTGTTCTAAATGCTATAGTTCTGGATACTATTTCGTTTCATTCCTGAAACAACCTTATGAGGCAACTATCATTACCTGCATTTTAGAGGTAAAGAAACTGAGGCATATAGAAGTCTATAACTTGAAAAGGTCACATGGCTTGTAAATAGCAGAGTGGGGGCTTAAACCTGCAGTTTCCAAACCTGAAGCTGCCTGCCATATGTGTGCTGTGGAGACAGCGTTGACCTCTGGTGTCAGCTGGGAGCACCTCAGAGGCGCAGAGCGGGCCTGACATTTCCAGGACCTGCTACAGAGCCCAGTGCACAGCAGGGAGACCTGAAACGTGTCTAGAAGGCAGCCCAGAACCTGGTATGGGTATGGCTTTAGGGTTCAGAGTAAGTCCTTTGAACCTGTGGGACCTGTGGCTTCTTGCTCTGTACCAGAGACCTTTACTGCTGCAGGGCTTCCAAGGGTCACTTAAGGCTTTGAGATCACTCAATACTCTTAGGTAATGTGGTCAGGTCACAGGGTCCATAAGAATTGACCACAATATGGTGTCATCACAAAATCCAAACAGCTTGTGATCACAGCGTTAAGGTTGAAGGCAAAGACAAGGTTTGGGGAATATATGGCCACCCATATGGGTTTCTGCTGGCTAAAGGAGAACTTTTAGCCTGCCCGCAAGCCTGTCTCAGAAAGCAGGAGACATTTAGACTAAGCTCAGACAGCTTTGACCTTTGTTTCTAGATTGCTTTTGCATCCAGATTCTTTCCTCATCTATTCACCCACTCACCTATTGCCTTCTCCCAGGAGGGAAGATGGCACAGTGGTTAACAGCAGAGGTTTTGGAGACACACAGATTGGATTTGAATCTTTTTTTTTTTTTTTAAGATTTTTTTTATTTACTCATTAAGGACTGAGAGAGAGGCAGAGACACAGGCAGAGGGAGAGGCAAGCTCCCTGCGGGGAGCTCAATGCAGGGCTTGATCCCAGGACTCCCAGATCACAACTTGAGCCAAAGGCTCAACCACTGATCCACCCAGGCATCCCAATTGGATTTGAATCTTGCATTGTTATCTAGGGCATGTTACTTGACCATGTTTAGTTTCAGTTCCTACGTCTATAAAGTGGAAGAAATAATCAGACCTTCCTCGTAGAATTGTGAGATTAAAATTTGCCGGCATCCGAAATCACACGTCTGAATGTTCACAGAAGTTTTGTTCATAGTAATGCTGGGATTATTGGGAACAGCCCAGCCAGATGCCCAGCAGGAGAATAAAGATGTTCTGTACTCTTCATACAGTAGACCACTGCTCAACAATAAAAAGGAATGGCTGCTATTATACTCAGCATGGATGAATGTCACAGGTGTTAGGTTGAGTGAAGTTCTAGAATAGGTAAACATAATATATAGTGATAGAGGGCAGCCTGGGTGGCTCAGCGGTTTAGCGCTGTCTTCAGCCCAGCACAGAATCCTGGAGACTTGGCATTGAGTCCCACGTCAGGCTCCCTGCATGGAGCCTGCTTCTCCCTCTGTCTGTGTTTCTGCCCTCTCTCTCTGTCTCTCATGAATAAATAAATAAAATCTTTAAAAAATATACATATATAGTGATAGAAAAAGAGTAGTGGCTGCCTGTAGGAGAGCATTGACTTGAGATGGTAGGAGGGAACCTTCTAGTTTGGGGTCTGTGCCTAAATTCACTCTGGGTGGTGATCACATGGCTGTGTACATTTGGACACTTTGAGTTCTATACTTTAGATGTATACACTTGACCATATAAAAATTATATCTCAAAAAGAAAAACATAAAGTATTTAGCACAGTACCTGTTTTCTTTTTTAAAGATTTTATTTATTTGGCAAAGAGAGAGAGAGTGCACAAGCAGGGGGAGCAGCAGGCAGAGGGAGAGGGAGAAGTAGACTCCCCCCAAGAGCAGGGAGCTTGATGTGGGGCTCGACCCCAGGACCCTGAGATCATGACCTGAGCTGAAGGCAGGCACTTAACCCACTGAGCCACTCAGGCTCCCCAGTATAGTATCTGTTTTAAAGAGGACTCCCAGAAAACACTCTTTCCTGCCCTGATGTTTTTGTGAACCTGACTTTTTGTGAGATGAGCCATTTCAGGGTGAGAAGACTGATAGAAAGATCCATTTGTTCCCTGGGAGGTTATGTTCCAAGAATAGCTGGGTCATAGGTGTCCAGGGAAGGGATGCTTGAGACCCTTTTTCCTCTGATGGGTCTTTTTTTCCCTGCCCTCTCTCACTCTCTTCTCGGTGAACGCCCCTTCCTTACAGGCTATGCAGTGACTGCCGGCTCCTTCTCTCGCCCGTTCACCACCGATGTGGTAGGAGGTGCTCCGCAGGATGAAGGCATTGGGAAGGTGAGAAGTAAAGTCTGGAATAGCATGGAGTCAGACACGAGGGGGGAGCATGCTGCCCCTGGTATAGAGGTTTGTCACTTATTTGATGTGAACATTCTGCTAGGTGGCTGGCAAGTAAATGAAGCCATGAGGAGTCTCCCATCAGCCTCCTTCTGACCACTTTTGAGAGCATACCCTGAAAGCTTAATCAGAGAGTGAATGCTGCTCACAGATCTCCCTGTTCTCATCTCAGTGCGTTTGGCAGCTCACTCTGTGTGTGATGTTATTAAGACTGACCATTGGCATCATGGGGTCCTCCAAAGGAATGGTACCCAGCACTGTCCAGGCTCCACTCTGTCAAGCCTTCCCCAATTTTGACTTTGACGTAACAGAATCAGGTCTAGTCCCAAGTATCTTTGGGACTTTACTTATCTTGAGGCCTGGAGGCTCATATTTATTTTCCCAGTGTTTTAGAGCCAAGACTGGTTCAGTCCAAAGGCTGAACTGGAAATATGTGGGATCAGTTCTCCTAAAGGATCTTCCCAGGGTATGGGAAAGACCCCATGGATCCAGGGCTTTCTGGTCCCTTTAGGAATTGTGGCCTCTATGGGTCCAAGAGCATGAAGAACTATGCTTGCTGGTTCTTTAGCTCCAGGGCATGGGAAATCTAGATTGAGTAGGTCTACATGAGTCAGGAACCTGAATTTTTAACAAATTCCATAGGTTCTCTGATAGAAAAATCTGAACAAAGGAATAATCTTTGTACCTGAGGCAATAGGGTGGACCTGGGATAGAGTATGGCCATATCTCTAGGGGCTCAGAGAAATGGGGTCTGGATTTTAGAGATGGACCCAAACTACTGTTAATTGGAGCCTTGAGCCAGCATGTCAGTCTGGCCAGCTGACTGGGCTTTACAGGTACATCATGAGAATCATTTTCCCAGATCCCCCTGGGTAGGAGTTAGGAACTGTAGCTCTCGTTTCTGGAACTTGTACCCCCCCCCCCCCCCCCAGCTACCACCGGTGCTAGGGAGAAAAAAAAGCACCTGCCTCCTGGGTCACAGTCATGCAGATGCCTCAATGCTTCCTTTTCTCACCAGTTACACAAACTTTGATCTGATTGGTGCTGTTTTCTCTGCATATGCTTGTGATAGTTTCAAGATAGTCAAGTCTTAGGATGAGAACAGTATTTATAACTGATAGAACCAGACAGAGAGAATCCTGGACTCAACTAACAAAAAAGAACCTGAAAATGCTTCTTTCACTTGGATCACATGAGAGGTGCTGGGGAAACTGGTTATAGCTGACAAAATTGTTGACTGTCCCATTCCCAGGAACCCTAGAATAGACCTCTGGCCTGCAGGATTATTTGTTTCTGGTGTCAGGTCATAAACACATTCTCACTAAGGTAGAGGCTTCTTACCCTCTAGGAGGGTCCCCTACCCTGGTCCTCATGGGACACTTCCTATAAGATGCAACTTGAAAAAGAACTTCCACAGTCCTGGCATTTGGGAAGTCCTTTGTGAGTAATCTTCCTTGTGGTAGCGATGCATGGTGCATACTAAAGGCTCTCAAAGTCCTGCAGTAGAGGAATTGATTTAATGTTTAAATCTGGTGTCTCCCCAACTAAACTCCTGCTTACTTAAGCAGATCATAAGGCTCTGATATTCTGTGGAATCACTTTGGAAAACTGCTCTGTCTGAAATACTCCCTTCCATTCCTCTGTCTTCCATTGCTCTACCTGCAGCAGCTCTAACTCTTAGGAATGAAATATTTCAAGGAAGAAAATGCATACTTCATCCAAGAGTTGAATTGTTTATTAGTAATTTGTAAGCTCCTTGGACCTTATTGTGCATGGCTTCCATGAATGATGTGGTTCAGGAGCAGAGGATGTGATTTCTGCCTTGGAATTGAAGGACATTCTTTTTACAAAGTTGGTAAAGTGCAGGGAATGCTGACTTCTTAATTGTCAGCTAATTTAAGTGCACTTGCCCTGTGCCTCATTGGCCTTGATTAAAGTAGGACTCTCAGGAGGATGCTGGTAAATATCTTTGATCCTGGCTTCTATCTTAACTAGATTTTTTTTTCATTCCATAGGTTTATATTTTTAGAGCTGATCAAAGATCGGGCACGTTAATTAAGATTTTTCAGGCATCAGGTAAAAAGGTGAGATTCTTGACACTGTTATCTTCTTTTTTGCTTATGAGATGTCATAATGTGGGAATCAGTTCATTTTTTTAGAAAATTGGTGGAAAGGTCCTACCTGGGCCTTAAGTTTGTATGGTGGCTCCGCATGCAGTTGCCTTAACCTCCTCAGCATTGTGTGTAACCTGCAGATTGTGGAATTCCTGCTTGATTAGGACATAGGAAGCAAGATGCATTTGGACATGACCAAGTTACATCACAGAGTTCAAAATAGTTTCATAGTTCAGATACTCATCAAAATTACGACTCGTGGGGTCTCTCTGCCTTTTGCTACCTCTCATCCATCTGCTGCTCTCTTGTACCTACACATCAACACCCCAGAAATCACAGTTTAGTACGGTGGCAAACCCATGATAGCTAACCAAGTAGGCACGCAGGCACATGGCTCTCACTCTCCCTGTGTCCCTGGCCCAGCACCATTCCTCCTCATCCTGAGCTCTCTGCCACCATTGTCACAGGGACTATTGTCACACAGAGAAACCAAACAAAAGTCACTCAGCTCCTTTGGGAACCTGGAAATAGAAATAGCTTGGGAAGGCTGCCTTGAAATTAGTCCTGGGCAAGGTTGATCTGCTTGGGTTGTCTTGTCTTCATCCTGGCCCTAATTCTCTCTCCATTTCCTGCATGTTTCCATTATGCTGCACCATAGTCTGAAATTAAGGCAGGTAGAGAGTGCTTTGATTAATAAGCAGCATTTTTTCCCAGGCTTATCAGTCCTGCACCCCTTAGTGTGGCTCAGACCAACAAGATTGTTGAGGGAGATTGGCTGCTCTCAGGGGACACATATTTGGGCTGGAAGGCCAACAAAGTAATTTGGAGGCTTGTCTTGGTGGAGGCCTCAGTGAGCTCTGGGAAGAAGCACAGGACCCCTGGGGCCTGGGAGGGAGATTCCAGGAGATAGGAGAATGTGGAAGGTTGTTTTACCTCCCGCCACCCTAAGAAAGGGTGAAAAGCGATTATTTCCTTTGTGGGGCAGGCTGTGTGTCCCAGCCCAGTGTGGGGTTAAACCTCCTTTCCTCCAGCCTGGCACCATTACACACTGTTCTGGTGGTGGATATTCTCATTTCCCCAAATCCCACTCACAAGTGGAATTCTCTTTCAATTTTAACAATGTTAATGTGTGTACTTGGTATAGAATTGTCATAATCCTTTCCATTAAAAAAAATGCATTACCAAATCAGTTTTGTGAAGTTTTCCCTGGGAACTGCACTGGCCTATGTTATTTTAACATTTCTAAAAACCCAAAGCAACAGCACTGGAAATGGACTGTGAGCAATTCTGCAAAAAAGATTTTCCAGGCACCCCTGACAGTTCAACAAGAAGTAACTCAGTGCCATTTGTGAAAGAGGCCCAAAGAGCAAGTAGGATGTAAATGCTCCTAAGCCTAACATTTTTTATTTTTCTTACAAAAAAATAATAAATAGGTGAGTGTACCTACTGTGGGAAACCCAGACCCCCACCTCTCCCCTGCAAACATACCTGGGCTTGACAGCATAAAATTAAAGGAACCGTCCCCCTCTCCCTGCTTTGCTGAGATATAATTGACCTGTAGCACTGGGTGAACTTAAGGTGTTCAATGGATGGTTTGATCCATCACAGTAAGGCTAGTTAACACACCCATCACCTCACATAAATGCTATTTAAGGACTCTAATGTGATGTGTGGAGCTGGAGCACACCTGGCATCCAGTTTTCAGAGTATCTTCACGTTCATTTCCACCTGTGTCTCCATGCCTCCTGCCCACCACCCCCACCAGCCACCTGTGCCCAGGGTGGTCATCCTGGTATAATTAACAGCCTATAATTGTGCCCCGCTCCTTCTCAAAAACCTCCTGGTGCAAATGACAATTTACATGGCCACTCATCTGTGACTGGCTGTGGTCATGTTTCGGGCAACAGATTTAAGAGCAGGTGGTGGGAGAGGTCAACATTTGAGGAGCCACTTGGGCACACTTCCCGAGAACTTTACGCCGTGGAGTCCAGGACAGATTGGTTTGTGTATCTGCTTGAATGTCCTTGTGATGTGTTGGGGCTCCCTGAGAGGGGATGGAAGGGCCAGGTGTTTCACCCACCAGTTCCATGGCTCTGTCACTTGTCACTTTCATTAGGGATCTACTTGCCTTCACTTTGCACCATCCTAGCTAGAGTCATTCCTTTCTTACACCACTCAATCTTGCTTTCCCATTTTTTCTGACTTTAACCCCATCATAAGCTTTCTGATTTTGAAATGACAATCACTCTCTTTATACATATGATTCTGCTTTTTGCAAGAAGAGAAATTCCAGTCTCTCTGACTTCTCCATTACTTCAGAGGGAAAGGACATGACCCCAGGCTTTCAAAGGATGTCTGTAGCTTTACCCCTGTGTCCGGAGCCACACACACACAGGGGAGGGTTCTGACTCAGCCAACCACTGGCCCACTTCTGCTTTTTTCGGCCAGGATTTGGTGAGGTAGTCCTGTCACCTGGCCTTACTCTAAAAACAAAACAAAATAAAATGAAACCTCAAAGTTCTGGGTTTTTTCGATTGACAGCCTTCATATAGTACATCTAAGAAATCATCAATATGTGCACAATCCAGATGTTAATATAGACACACATCCCTGTATTTCCAGACTTATGGGAGAATTCTGATCAAGGAACACCCTCCCCCCACCCCTGAAAGCATGTCATTGCCATATAGGAGTTTTATTGAGTTAACAGGGTATCTGAAGTGTTTGTATGTCAGAACTTAGATAGGAAACTTCATGTTCAGGGATTTCTGATTGAACATTGATAAAGATGCCAAGTTAAATAGCCCATTGGAATGAAGCACATTGTTCCCATGGGGCTCAGCCAGAGAGAACAGCTAGCAGCTTTGGTCCTCGGGGCCTTGTGTGGGTCTCACCAGCTTGTTTGTTTGCTTATTTTACTAAAGTCCAGATGGAAAGATCGGCAAGGCCACCGAATTAGTGACTGGCAACTTGGTCTCAGCTGTGAATCCAGGCATTGCCCACATGCTTCTCCTTTGGGAATGGGCGGTGGTAGGGCGGGGTGGGTTGAGCACAAGTGGCATGTGACTGAGGAGGGGTGCCAGTCCCCCGGTTCACTGCAGGAAATGTACCGGAATGCCCTCCACTCTCACACTCCCTGGGGCAGCGGCCAACAAACTGCAAACTGCAATTCCAAAAGAAAATGCTTGTTGCCATCAGTAGAACCAGAGGCCTTTTATTTGAAAACATTTATTTTAAAAGAATGGCTTTTTTTTTTCTTTTCCCTTTCCAAGAGGTTGCAAACTGGCAGCCTTTAGAAAGGATGCAGCCTGTAAAACTTTGTTTGGCCTCCCCGGTATGTTTGGTTTTTTTATTCTGAACAAGTTGCTCACATTTTTTTTTAAAGATTTTATTTATTTATTCATGGGAGACACAGAGAGAGGCAGAGACATAGGCAGAGGAAGAAGCAGGCTCCCTGTGGGGAGCCCAATGCAGGGCTTGCTCCCAGGACCCCGGGATCTCGGCTTGAGCCAAACGCAGACGTTCAACTGCTGAGCCACCCAGATGCCCCCAAGTTGCCTGTGTTTTAAAAAGAGGCACCTCAAATACAATTTTTGATTTTTGGCTTCTTTTAAAAAACAGGAAGGTTGGTCTTCTCTGGGTCAGCCTCCCTCATGACAGCAGTTGGCTGCGGCTGGGTAGGAGCGTGTCTAGTAGCTGGCTCTGTGGGCTCCTGTTTGCCACAGTCCGTACCACTCATTGTTTGTTAGACACTGAAACCAAGTGTCACTTGCCACCTGTGACCAACTTTACAATGTTACATGTTTTTTCTTATGGTTTTTCTGTCACCTGCCTGGATCCCTTTGGCATTTGGTGTTAAGACCCCTGATTTACAGTAATAGGCATTGGAGTAAACCGTGATACGGGAAGAGCCAATGTAACCTGGTTGTGTTCCCTTATCCATTACATAGTCTTAGGAGTTGTACCTTTTCCTGTCATTGCAGTTCATGCCTTCTTGATTAGCTTTAGCTCTGAGCAGGCCCAGGGGAGGGGAATCTATTTCCCCATGTAGCATTTCTTTTCAAGCTTGCCTTATGTTACAGAATTTCATATTCCTACATGGTTGGCCCTGTCAGATGTCTGTTATATGAGGCGCTTTTACTATGGTTGTAACCCATTTTGCAACCTCAGCTTGCATTTTTAAAAACCATACTGTATTCTCCTGGGATTGGTCCACTTGTTTTCCCCTTGGTAGGGTTCCAAGGAGGGGGCCTCTGAGCCTGTTAGCTTTGGTCTCACGTTGCCGGGGCCCCAGCATAGCTGCCAGGAGCCAGGGAAATCAGGCATTTCACCACTGGCCTGGGCCTTCTGGCTTATGGGGCAGCATAGCCTTCCTTCACAGCCTCTGAGGGGCTTGGGAGCAAGAGTTCCTAAAACAGTGGGCTAGAGGAAAGTGAGGACCTCCTGTGTGAGGGCAGACACTGAACGCTTTGTTGCAACTCGACTTGGTTGCAGATGGGCTCTTACTTCGGCTCCTCCTTATGCGCAGTTGACTTGAACGCAGATGGCCTCTCTGACCTGCTGGTGGGGGCCCCCATGTTCTCTGAGATCAGAGATGAGGGGCAGGTCACCGTCTACATCAACAGAGGAAATGTGAGTACAGTGCTGGGCACTATGTGGATGAGTGTGTGTGGGGGGACATCTGTCCAGCAAAGGGTGACTGAGACCCTGCTGGGCTGGGCACTGGGCCCCATAACCCAGAGGAAGTGAAAAGATTCGCTTCCTACCTTCAGAAAGCTCAACATTCCATTAATGGAAAGCTGTACACAGTGTTATCACTGCAAACATACAGGGGTTGAAAAAAATTGTAATGTCTGTTGTTTGATTTTGAGTGTCTATTATGTACCTGAAACTGTGCCTCCTGTTTTCTATAAATGATTTCAATGTAATATCAGGGGTCCCATTTCTCAGATGCAAAAATGAGGCCCAGAGAGGTTAAATAATGTGCCCCCCATCACACAACTAGAAGTGGTGGGCTGGAATTTGAACCTAGGCCAGCTGGATCCCTGGGAGTTGTGCTACCTCCCTGGAAGTATCTATCTATGCACATGCCCAGGGGAGCAGAGAAACCTCCTGGAGGACACAATGGCTGGGATGAATCTGAAGGAGTAGGAGTTAGGCAGACAGGCAGGGGTGGGCTGGGAGCTGGGCAAGTGGGATGAGGCATGGGGCAGTAGGACCACTTAGTTCTGGGGGTTGCTTGGGGACCAATGCAGTGGCCAAGGGCCATGATCGTGGTGCCCTTATCCTTCAGGACCATGAAAGAGGGGTGATGGTGTCAGAAAGATGCCTCTGCCCCTTTGCAGCTGAGTGGAGGATTGGGGGGATAGAGTGGGGGAGTAATGCACAGTGGAGGTGGGAGACCAGTGAGAAAGCAGAATCTTTTCAGCATCTAGAATTAAGAATGTTCAACAAGAGAGTTAAATGCATCAATTTTGTCACCAAACATGAGAAAATGGTTATGCGGTAATCAGTGAAAAGCAGGATGAAAACTTGCTCTACAAACAACCTTTATAAAAATACACAAAATGCATAGAGAATGTTAATAACAGATCTTTGTGTGTGGTAAGCCTTGGATAGATTTTTAGTTTTATCTTTACTCAAAGAGCAAGAATGTAATTCTTGTTAAAAAAAAAAAAAGTACACTTTTAAGTGGTGACCAAGATGCTAGTTATCCTAGTTGGATAACTAATTCAATTGGAGGGGACAATGGTGTTTAACTATAGGTGGGCAGATGTCAGAAAGAAAGGGCAGCCATGTGAAGAGGAGCCAGGGAATGTTAGAGCCGTGGGCTTTCTCAGATGCTTGTAAACTTTTTAAGGAAGTGAATCTAAAACCTGGGACCGAAGATACTTCCTGGTACCTTCTGCAGTGATGCTTGGCACTTGCAGCCCCCTTGACATTCCAGGAAAGGGACAGTCTGGTGTGGGGAGAAATGAGGTGGTCATTATGGAGATAAGCTCAGCAACAGTCAGTGGCTGCTGGCTACTCTGTTTGTAGGAGAATGAACATTCACATAGTTATGAACTTGTCAGGCAGCAAGGTGATCAGCTCAACAGTGTGTCTAAATCAGGGTGTGGAATCTTAGAGCAGGATAACTCCCCAGACACATTGTGCCCACACATTCCAACACCCAACCAATGTATCTTAATGCCTGTGTGGCTTCCCTAAGTACAAGGATAGAATATCTGTTGAATCTCCCTCTTTGATGAATGATTATGAAGCAGTGCAGAGGAATGGGAAAATGGTGACTTTGGAGTTAGATGGACCTGGATCCTGGGTTTTCCACTTTCTAGCCTGTGCAATGTGGACAAATAACTTAAAATTAGTGGTTCAGTTTCCTCATCTGTAAAGTGGGGGGAGCCACGAGGTCTGATCTAAAGCCAGACACTCCTTGGGATGGCTTGTGGGTGTGCAGTGAGTCCAGGGTACCTCTATGCCAGGGCAGATTTAGACATTCTTATGCCTCAAAATCTCAGATTGCACTTTAATACTCTGATACTGACATGTCAGTGATTTGGGGTAGAGTGGGTATCCTCAAATGGCTTTTACTGCCACCATACACCATTAGCTCCCTCCCTTTGTTATCTGGTGTTTGCTCGAGAAATGCAAATCTGAGTCCAATGAGAATAGGCATGGTTGTGTATGCCCCCCACCCTGGCCAAGAACTACTGGGTGTTGGATTACTAATCACACGTACCTTATAAAGCAACTTTGTACTAAAAGTCACAGAAGAGAAAAAATAGAAATATGCATGCCCATGTAAAACAACTTTGCAGAGGAAAAGGTCAGGGCTGTTGAGAAGATTCAGTGGTGATAGGTATGTAGGTAGGTGGGTTTATGGAGTGTCAGGACAAGGAAGATGTGGGGTCGCTGGTCACTGTGAGAATCCTCTTCCCTCTAAAAGGCATCTCAGGCTGTGGGAATCTTTCCTGCTGCACAAGTGAAAGGAACTCCTTTTGCCACAAGGAAAGAGCCTGCAGTCCTGCCTGGGTGTCTCCTGTTGATGGGTGCACTCTGAGGGTGACATTCGGAGCTTTGTTTGTTGTTTGTTTTTCGGTTCTGTTTGTGTTTTGTTTTCCACTTTTTCCTCCATCCTGCTTCCCAGGGAGCCCTGGAGGAGCAACTGGCCTTGAGTGGTGACGGCGCCTACAATGCACACTTTGGGGAGAGCATCGCCAGCCTGGGTGACCTTGACGACGATGGGTTCCCAGGTCAGTGAGGTTGCACCTGCCCTCTGGTTTCTCCCTGACATGATGTGCTGCTGGATCTGCCTGCCTGCTTGGAAGGCCCCCGTAGGGAGGGCCGCCCTTGGAGAAGATGTGCTCCATGCAGGCACTCAGGGCTGGGCTCTGCTTCTGCGTGGTAGCTTCTTGTCAGCCTGGAATTCTTGGCTGAGTGTTGCGGTGCGAACGCACCTGGGGCCGGGCCACCAGGGCTTCTTGAAGCGGACGTATTTGAGGAAGTGGAACAAGCTTTCTCCCGCTACCAGCCCTCAATCTGAGCCTCTCTGGCTCTACCGTGTTGTTAGTACAACGAATGAGGGATAACTGAGACATTCTCAGTCGTGAGAGCGACAGCAAGGGGATAGTCTTGCACGTGTCCCTGCAGAGAGGTTGCAGCGGTGTGCACCCAGTTTCCAATTCTGTCTGGACTGCAGATACCTTCACAGCCTCTTGGCTCCTGTTTCTGGCTTGTTCAGTGCCCCCCCTGCTTACTGTATATGCAGTAGATGGACATCAGGACCTGTGGGAGCCATGTCTTCGGGGTGATGGTTGTGGCAGAGGACAGGCTGGGGGGCAGCTCTTGCCTCAGGCCAGACATCCAGGCTCCTTTGATACCCTCATGCCCCTGGCCACAGAGGACCTCTCGAGGTCATGTGAGCGTATGCCCCTCACCCTTGACCTCACTTCTGTAAACACATGACTTTTGTTAGAAGCAAAGGGAAGAAAGTCAGGAAGATCTCAGCTTTGTTCCAGGGGTTGTCAGTGTGTGAGGGTAACAATTTTTGTGGGGGGGAAGTGAGTGCCATCCTATACCAGTCCCTTCTCCAGGAACAGAGTCGACTTTTTCTGGCAATAGCCTTAGTTTATGGAATTCCCCTCTCTGACAGAAATTTGGGTGAGTGGTTTCTATTTGCATTTCTTTTATTGGGTGAGTCAATGATTTTTTTTTTTTTTCTGTGAGATTGAGGTAGGAACTTTTCTGGAAACTAAACCCTCACAGCTTCAATAATTTTCTACTTTTTTTCCTGCTAAGAGACTGGGTATCTAGTTTAATGCCTGAGCAACCAGCGACCAAGAAATTTCTGGTGTGGAGGGACCCAGATGATGGCAGGAATTAGGAAAAGTCCTTGTGTTACTCCATGTGGCTTTCTAACTAAAAGCTGTTTCTCTCCTCAGATGTGGCCATTGGTGCACCCAAGGAGGACGACTTCTCAGGGGCCGTCTATATCTATCATGGTGATGCTGGCGGGATAGTCCCTCAGTACTCAATGGTAATTGCTGTGAGAATGACATGGTAACTGTCCATACATTCATCTGACAAACACGCAGGGAACCTTTAGTCTGTGCCACACCCTGGGGTACAGAGGAAAACACAACATGGTTTCTATGACTTCAATCTTCCCGCCCTCCAGGGAAAGGCAGAGACCACTGGTATTGCTTATTAAGTATAAAAACATATTCAGAGACTTCCAAGTTTGCTCATGGTAAGGGATGCATCCTGCCTGGGAAGGATTACATCCCCATCCTTACCCGCAGTTTGAGTTATTTCTTGAAGAAAAAGAGGCTTTCCTTTTTTATTGTTAGTTATCTATGCAAGCTTAAGGATTATGTTGTAAAATTTAATTTAGAGACACAATGGTCCACAGGGTAGGGGCTTGAAGGCTGTCATGGGGCTGATTGTTGTAATTGGCATTGAAATGAGGAGCTGGTCAAAGCTCTGGCCTTGAGCCCCAGACTTGGGAACGTGGAAGTGGTGAGTTGTGTTCTTTTTGCCATATCAGCTTGGTGTTCAGTCTTGCTGATGTGTCCAGCCCAACCCATGGGAAAAAAGGAAGTCACTCTCTCGATAGAAGCATCGTCAGGATATTTGTGGATGTCTCTGTCTAGAGTGGCACAGGCCTGTATCATTCTCCCAGTGAGTGGGTCAATGACAGGAAGGGATTGAGCACAAGTTGAGAAATTTTCAATCAGCAAATATTGATCTATTGAGTGCTTCTTAGGTGCTTACCACTTTACTCATGCTTTTATTTCTCATCACAAAAAAGCTGGTCTCATATCTTGATTATCTCTAAGGAGACAACTTTTAACTGAGTTGTGTTCTTTTTTTTTTAAATAAATTTATTTTTTATTGTGTTCAATTTACCAACATACAGAATAACACCCAGTGCTCATCCCGTCAAGTGCCCCCCTCAGTGCCCGTCACCCATTCACCCCCACCCCCCACCCTCCCCCCCTTCCACCACCCCTAATTCATTTCCCAGAGTTAGGAGTCTTTATGTTCTGTCTCCCTTTCTGATATTTCACACACATTTCTTCTCCCTTCCCTTATATTCCCTTTCACTATTATTTATATTCCCCAAATGAATGAGAACATATAATGTTTGTCCTTCTCCGATTGACTTACTTCACTCAGCATAATACCTTCCAGTTCCATCCACGTTGAAGCAAATGTGGAATGTGTTCTTGTAAAATATTCTACAACTGTTTTATAAAATGAAGTATTAGTAAAGTGTCAATACCTATTCATGTGCTGAAGTCTCTAGGTAAGAAAGAGACTTTACAAGCTGATTTTAAGAGCCAGTACATAAATGTAAGTTCAATTTGTGCATTCATAATTGTTCTTCTTGTAGTAGATACAAGTAAGCTGATTAAAGGTTAAGGGTTGGCTTATCACCGGCTTCCAGCATCCTCTGTGTTGGGGCCAGCCCAGCTCAGTAACTCCCACCTGAGGCAGACGGCAGAGAGGAGAGACTGCTCTGCTCTCTTTTCTTTAGTTCTTGTCATAGTCCTGTGAGATGGTGTCCTTATTATCCACAGTGTCTTTATGACATGTGGGAGGGGACTTTGCTTGGCCAAGGTCTCCGGCTAGTAAGTGGCAGTAAGGCCACTGAAACTTTGCCTGTCTGACTCTCAACCTTTTCCTATAACACGTCCACAACTCCACGTGGGAGGAAGGAACACTCAGGGAAGCTCAGTTGGAAAACTTAGAAATCTGGAAACTGATTTTGTTCTGAAGCACACGTACTCCGAGGGGCATGGGTCTACTCTTCCCATTAGAAATGAATCATGGTGACAGTAAGCTCTTAGGTGATTCAGCCAATGTGGCAGGAGGAGGAAGGCTTTGGGAGCTGGTTGGGGGCCACATCCATGTCATGAGAGCTGTTGTGGTCTGACTTAGGGACCCTCTTCACAATGTGACAAGCGGGAAGTCATCCAGGGAGCCCGGTCCTTGGGCAGCTGCCCAGGGTCACTGTCCACGCATCCTCTTGGAAGCTTGTTCCAGGACCTTGGAAGCAAATCACACAGAGAAGCAACCTGTCAGAGACCCCTCACTTTCCCTCCTCCCGGTGCCCTCCAGTGTTTTGTTATGTTGCTGGGTGGAATCCCTGCAGAGAACTGAAGTACAAATTTTGTGGTTAACATGGAGTGTCTCTAGTAGGAAGCAGGGATCAGCAGCTGGACCCTTCCTGCCTCTGTCAGCATGCTGGCAGGCTTGTTAGCTTTGACAAAGAGAAGTGGTTTGGGGCACTTTAAAAAAAAAGAGAAAGAAACAGCTATGCTTATACTTTTCCAAGCTGCTAATATGTATACAATAAGGTCAGTGATTTAAAAGGAAAAAGAAAAATCCTTTAACGATAGATTCTTCAGGGCTGGGGTCCAGACAGAGCTGGCATTGTGTGGGTGAACCAGAGGAAGAAATAAGAAACAGCTCTGGGCAAAGGAGTTGCTTTTCTTTGGCCCAGACTGGTATTATTTCTGCCGGAGAAATTGTGAGATCAGGGCTGAAGTGCGTCCACATTACTCTTTAACTCATTCCTCTTTCTTGAGTTCACCATGAGAAGTGTTGATTTTAAGATCCTTGTGTGCCTTTCTCAAATTGAGAGCCCCCCCGGGGCATGTCGTGGCGGCCCCTGTGATCCTTCTCCTTCCATAAGGACACTGCCTGTAAACCTGGTCAAGCGGAGGTTTTCCAAGGCTCCTGGTTTTCATTTAGAGTTATTAGCACCGAGCAGACTTATCTTCCTGGCTTTATGGCCTAATGGCCTGCAGATGTTAAGCCCGCATCGCCACCCCCAAATGGACCACCCCTTCACTCTTCCCCCTTGTCCCAGCCACAGCAGAGCTCACACAGAAATGCAGACCCAGGGCAAGCTGCTGCTAGCATGTTAGACTGCGGAGCTGAGCCGGTTTGCCTCAGAATGTGGCTTTTAAGAAATATAGACATATGTACATGTTTGTTTAGCCAGAGCCATGTGGGACAGGAAGCTCAGCCTGTTAGCAAGAAACATTTCTTGAGTGTTTGCTACAGTGTTGTGATTTGTACTATGATGCTTGCTCCTTTCCTGCTGGATGGCTTACCTGAAGATGGCAAGTGGGCTCCTGGGAGGGGCTGGGTGGGGGTGGTCCCTGGCATCTCTGCAGGTCCTATGGAAACTCCCCTCTCCCCCCGCTCGTGACTTTCCTGCAGGGTGACTCAGGAAGGAAAAGGATGAGGAAAGAAAGTCCAAAGTGAGCCCCCTGGATATCTGTAAACCTGGTTCCGACAGGGATTGTGCTGTATGGTATGAAAACAAAGCATTTTTCTTGTCATCCAAAATGAGGGCATTGGGAGGTAAGCCTCCCCAAAGAGACTGTATAAACAAAGGGAAAAAGGAACGGGTCAGATCCCAGGAGATGGGACTTTTCTGATTCAGGAAGTTCGATATCTTTTGAGGAACTGTGCCACGCAGACATCGATGAATGACAAAAGCCGGTTGTACATAAATAGTCCTGAGCCAATGCAGCATGTGTTAACATAGGTTAAACTTGATGATGAATAAAAGTGCAGATGTCCCCTGGTAGAGCTGTGCACTCTAACTGCTTGCCTGGGGGGCTGCTTTTTAGGGAAGAGGGTGGCTTCAGCTGATTAATTTGGATTTCTTACAGTTTATAGAAGGTTCAGGACCATGGAGCTCCAGATTTACTAGACGGAACAGTCTTATCCTGGGAGGCTAGGGTGGCTCAGTGCTTGAGCATCTGCCTTTGGCTCAGGTCCTGATCACAGGGTCCTGGGATCAAATTCTGCATTAGGCTTCCTGCAGGGAGCCCGCTTCTCCCTCTGCCTATGTCTCTGCCTCTCTGTATTTCTCATGAATTAATAAATAAAATCTTAAAAAAATAATAAACAAAAACAAATCAGAATTACAATTTTCCCTTTCCACAACTTGAGGACCCAGTGTCCTACAGAAGCTGCATAGAAAAGTCACAGGTTTTATTTATGACTGTGCTCCTATTTGGTGATTCAATTTCTCTATTATCTGTTTCAGAAACTGTCTGGCCAGAAGATAAGTCCAGTCCTGCGGATGTTTGGCCAGTCCATATCAGGAGGCATTGATATGGATGGAAATGGATATCCTGGTAAGCTGTTTTTTCTTTTAAAGGCTTTGGAGATAAATGAAGATAAATACTTGAGGTAGAGTAATTTCCAATCTGGTTAAGCAGTGGTAACATCTATTTAGGATTAGGAAAATCCCCGCAACAGAATGGGATGCTTTGCCTGGTATTTGATTTTACGGTGTTGAAGTTTATTTTGTGGCTTTAGAATGATCTATTCTGAAGGGTTGAAGGACCAAAAGGGTAGATCTTTACAGTGATTTCAAAAGAAACAGAAAAAGAAAAACAAAAAAATCATGATTTCTGTGGCAGCAGTTCTAATGAAGAAAAAAAGAAGTACTGTCTACATTAAAAATGATAGCAAAACCTCATGTTTTCCTTGATATTTAACCATCTGAAGAGGTTTCTTACACTTGAGAGGGGAAAAATAACTGAGCAGCACCTTCCCCACCTTCTAACCCCTGCAAGAAAATTGAAATATTTGGAGCAGAAAAGAAAAGCATGCCCTGTCCCTGATGGACAAAACAGACCTTCACCATTAAAGACTGGCTGCCCTGTCTTCAGGGTTAATTAATGCCTTGTGGTGGTTGAAGCTAATTGAATAAAAATGTACAATTTCCCACCTCAATCTCAAGTGTGTCTGGCTTAGGTAAAAAGGACTAGGCAGTGGGATGGTAGTTCTTTTGGGGCTTGAGGAGTGGGACGAGGTAACAAAACTAAGATGAGAATTTGGAAAAAAATCCCAAATCATCCTGGAATTCAGAAAACATCACCCTGACGTCTTGCCGTCTTGAGGAAGTATTTCTGGCCACTTGAACAATGCCCCCTGAAGGACCTCTGGCATCCAGTGCAGTGCTGTACGAGGGCACCATTGTTTGTAGTTTCACACAGGCAGCAGTTTTTTTTTTTTTTTTTTAAAGATTTTATTTATTTATTCATGAGAGAGAGAGAGAGAGAGGCAGAGACACAGGCAGAGGGAGAAACAGGCTCCATGCAGGTTGCCCCATGCGGGACCTGATCCTGGGTCTTCAGGATCACACCCCGGGCTGAAGGCAGCGCTAAACTGCTGAGCCACCTGGGCTACCCCAGGCAGCAGTTTTGGTAATTTCTTATGACTTTACAGAGCCAGGAGGAGGGAATAGGAAAGGGTCATTGCTGAAGTTTTTGGGCCTGTGGACCATCATGGGTCTTCTTAAGTCGGAGAAAGCAAGTCTTGTTTTGGGTAATTTGTGGCCATCCTGAAATAATACCTTTTGTTGGTTTCATACTTTAACATATGCAAAATGCTTCCACATGCAGTAGATGTCTTATAGGTAGTGCAACAGGTAGGTGGAGTTGGGGTGTCGCCCACTTTATAGACAAGGGTACTGAGCCACAGAAAACTTAGGGGACTGGCCAGAGGTCACATCTTGGTGGGCAGAGATGCACACACACAGTGAGGGGGTGTGTTCATGCTTCATGACGCATGTGAATTTCTTACCTTTATCTCTTTTTTAAGGTTTATTTTTATTTATTAGAGGAAGAGAGAGAGAGAGCACAAATTAAGGGGGGGGAGGTGCAGAGGGAAAAGCAGACTCTCCCTTGATCATGGAGAGCCCTAGATGGGGCTCGATCGGAGGACCCCGGGATCATGACCTGAGCCAAAGGCTGACCCTTAACCAACTGAGCCACACAGGTGTCCCTGAATTTCTTACATTTTTCATAAAAGAAACAACAGATTCCTCAGGTTCTTTTATTTTCAGATATCTAGTCAACTCAAAAAGGCTTGGAAAACAGCAAAATTAATGACCAGACCCAAATGCAGAAATTTTAGCAGCACTACAATTCATGGATTTGCTGTTTCTTTTTCCTTAATGAGGGCACTGTATAGACTCGGGGATTCAGATGCTTGGTTCTGTAATGTGGTAACAGGAACCCCAGAACTAAAAAGTTTACTTTCAAGGGGAAGACAGGCAGAGAGCTATTAGATGAGTATACACTTCCTAAATTCAAGTTACTTAAGAATAAACATTACTGGCTAACACTTGCATCTTGGTTGGTAGTGTGCTAAATATTTCATGAATTTTCTGACTTAAATATGTAATTTAACATAGTTAACATGTATTTAAATATCAAAAATATTATATTGAACAACTAATATTATGTTTAATAGATATTTAATAGATGTCTTCTTATTTAAATATTATGAAATGTTATCAGCTTTTGGAGAAGACACTAGGGATGATTATGTCCACAGTACAGACAAGGACACTCTAAGAGATTCTGAGGTCACACAGAATGAGGGGTGGAGCAGAGATGATTCACATCTTCTACAGAACCTAGAGCTTTTTCCAGGTCATTTAGTTTTAAGTCTCCATCTCTCTAATTCACTAGTGTCCAAAAGATACATAATATGAGCCACATATTTAATTTAATATATTCTAGGAACCACATAAGAAAGATAAAAAGAAATAGGTGAAATTAATTTTAATAATCAATATAAAAGTTTTTGAGATCGTTTGTGGTTTTTGTATCAGGTCTTTGAAAACTGGTCTGTATTTCACCCTTGCTGGCCTGAACACATCTGAACCGAAACATTCCAGTTCAGATCAGACACATCTCAAGGTCTCAACAAGCCACACCCAGTGATTGGCTGCCACGTGGGACAGTGTGGCTCTAACTCTTACAAGATAATTGTATGACCCAGAGGAAGCCTGTCAGGGGTCCCGACCTCAGGGCTGGGCCCCCGTGGCTGTGGCCCTTGCCAGAGGTGGGTGGGGTGGGATGGGCTTCTACACATCTCTGAATGCTGTAAACTTCTGGTTTTCAGATGTAACGATTGGAGCCTTCATGTCCGACAGTGTGGTTCTTCTGAGGTGAGATGTTTCCCTCTTGCTTTCTGGATTACATTCTTCATGGTGAAGGCTAAAGTTTGGTGATGGGGTGACAGGGGGAGTTATTCACTGGTAGTCAGCAGTTCCCTCTGTCCTGTTCCTGGAGGCCGGGGGTGCTCGGGGAGTGGGAATGCTCTTTCTTTTCTTGTCCTCCTTATGCCCTGTTACAGTTTCCAGCTGGGGTGGGCCTCAAGTGGCTTGCAGCTATGAGACGGTAGCACCCTGGGGCTTGGGGTGGCTTCAGCCCTAAGGGTTTTGCTTTTGCCATGAACAGCTGCTTCATTAATGTGTGTACATGATGTCATCATCTCCACAGGTACCAGGACACCCAGGGGCTCTGAAGCTCTGGCCTGTCCTAGCACTTCATCCCCACCTTGTCAGTGCCTAGATCCCCAGGGGCTGGGAGCCTCTTGCCCTGTGGGCAGCACTTCCTTGCCTGTGGAGGCAGAGGTGAGGGATGGGAGCTTGGACCCAGGGTTCTCAGAGCCCCTGGAGCCTGGATCTCTCCTACAAGGCTTTAGGCTGCCATCCCACCATGAACCATCTCCAAGTATTTCTGTCTGTATGAGTCAGAGGAGGCGGAATTACCCTTTGGAGTGGGAGCCAGCTCTTCAGTTTTGTTAATAACCTGATGGCAGAACTTTCTAAAATAGGCCAGTGGGATCTTGGAGCTGGAAGGGGTCCTGGAGGCCATGTAGTCGCACATCCCAGACTCTTCTCATTCAGCAGTGCCTTCCTGCGAGCCTCTGGCTCAAGGCACCCAGCCTTTGCCTGAGTGAGGCGCCCCTCGGGGCGGGAGCTTAGTCACATCTGAGGGAACCAGTTAACCCCCAGCTAACTCAAGATGTTAAATTGTGAAGGAGGCAGAATCACCTTAGGTTAGGATGATGAACTCCAGGGCCAGGAGGCCTGGGTTCGAACCCCCATTCTGATGCTGGAAGGTGGCTTTCCCATGGTGAGTCAAGTAACCTGTTTTGCAGGGTTCTCACCCATTAAACAGGAGAACAGTAACACTTGCCTCACTGGGTTCATAGAATTCTGTGAGTTAGTACTACATGCAAATGCACAGAACAGGTAGGTGGTCAATAAATGCTAGCAGTTCTTAGATAACTTGGGCTGAATTTGCCTTCCTGCAATTCTGCTTCTTGATCCTATGTCTTGCCCGTAGCAGCCCTTCAGTATTGGATGGCAGCATGTGTGTCCCCAAGGCAGGGACCTCACTATTGCCATGATTGGGTCTCCCCTTCTTAATCCCCTCCCGCCTTGGGCTGGCCATTTCCTCTCAGGTAAAACAGCTTACAGGGCCGCAAACAACTCAGGTGATACTTGGGAAGCTGGGCTTACCTGCTGCCTTTGTGGTGTCCTGTCCCCAAGCAGCTTGCCCTAACTCGTCACAATATCCCTGGAACAAAACACATTTTCCCTGCTCTCCCAGTTGAAAACAGGCACTCTTAAAACCAGGAGCGTCTGGCTTAAGGTATATCCTGTAGATTCTGCTTTTTCATCATTCTTTTATTTTATAAGCTTCCAGCTGTGAGCTTAAACTCCAAAGGGGTTTTCTTTCTACTCTGTGGTGGCCTTCTCTGGGAGTTTTGCCCACACGTGGCTGGAGATGTAAAGTGGGGCAGTTATATGGAAGATGGCAGCCCCAGCCCCCAACTCGGGGTGGAAGTTGAATCTGGTGAGGGGAGATCATCCAGGCACAAAGGCAGGGTCCTTTGGAGAAAACGTCAGGGGTCGCTTATCAAGAGAAGAGGCTTTAGGAGAGGGGCTGTAGGGCTCTGTCTGGATAAGGTTTTCAGCAAAGGGCCCTGATGGCTGGGGAGGAGTGTGGAGATCAGAGATCTGTTCCTTCATTTGTTCAGCTTATATCTAGACCTGTTGTGGGCAACGATGTACCAGATCCCCTTGAAGAACAATTATACAAGTAACTAATATAACCAGTGTTTGGTTAAGTGCCTGCCATATGCCAGGCATTGCTTAGGCACTCACCTACATAATTAACTCTTTTTGGTTGTTTTTTTCTTCTTGTATTGAGGCATAATTCGCATATGGTAGAGCCTGCTGATTTAAGTACACTGCTTGATGAGTTTTCACCAGTGTATAAGCCTGTGTGACTGCCTCCTCTGTTAAGATAAAGAACATTTCCATCACCCCAGAGAGTTTCCTCCTGTCTCTTCCCAGTTATGCTGGCTACTGATGGACTACCTTTGGCCTCATTTTCATCACCATAGATCAGTTCTGCTTGTCCTAGAATTTCACAGAGATGGAATTATATGGTATACACTCTCTTACTTCTGGCTTCTTTCACTCAGTACAGTGTGTTCAAGATTCATCTGTGCTGTTGTGTTGTTCAGTTCTTTTCCCCCTTACTGAGCAGTAGTCCACTGACTAAATATACTGTAGTTTGTTCTTCTTTTTTGTTGATAGAGCATAATTTTTTTTAGAGAGGGGAGGGGCAGAGGAAGAGGGAGGGAGAATCTTAAGAGAGAATCAACCCTGAGATCGTGACCTGAGCCAAAATCAAGAGTTGGATACTTAACTGACTGAGCCATCCAGGCACCCCAATAAAACATATTTTAATTCTTAGTTTTCTTAACAACTCCAGGACATAGATATTATTGCTATCATTCCCATTTTATAGATGAGAAAACTAAGTGACATTGAAATTTACTGATTTTACAAAGGAGATAATTAGAGATGGTGGTCAATACCATGAGGATAATAAAGCAGGGTTATGCTGTCAAGGGCACCCACCCACATCAAGCCCAGCAGAGAAACCACATAGTCCTGTTGGAGGTGGCAGTATGAGGCCAATGGTGCCCTTGACTCTGGCAGGTGTAGAGAAGTGAGGTGCAGAAGTCAGATCGCTGTGGGTGGGAGAGAGAAGGAGAAGCAAGAAAACAGATGGTGTAGTTTGACTCCTTTCCAGAAGCTTGGCTATAAAGGAGCAAATGGGATTGCCAGGTGGCTCAGATATTAAAGCCGAGAGTCTTTGAAACCTCTCCTGCTCTCCTGGGTCCTTTACTGTCCTGCAAGAATCAGAAGTGGTTACCTTTAGCTTCATCCTCAGCCATACAAAGCTTGCCCTGACCCTACTCCTGTCTTGAGTCCTGAAGGGACAGAGGGAGACGGGGATGAAGATGAATGAGGTTTGGAGGGTCAAGGGATGGGGGGGATATGGGATGTGGTGTATAGGCTGTGAGTAGCAGGGGCCTTGTCTTTGAGCCAGGTCCCAAGATTGGAACAGGCCCAGGGCAAGGTTCAGCATGGAACATGGGTATGGGTGACTATCCCAGGTCTCTACTGGGAGTGTAAGGGACTCAGAGTACAGGGAAGGCCTTAAAGGCAAGTTGGACTCCCTTAGAGAAGGCACAGGGAGGAACAGGCAGAGGGACTGCTGAGTATGTCTCGTGGTCATTGGCAGTGGCATCTGTGGATAAAGTACTGGACGTGGTTGAACAACTATGGGCAGGAAGGTGTGGAGATGTCAGCTGGCTAAGCTAGGTGGGCGTCTCAGGCTTGGCCTAGCTGACTGGAAAGTTAGGTAGACTTTGAGTCACCTCAGAGTTTGGGTGGGCCCAGAAAAAGAAACCAAGCACGTGAATGCAGGTAAAACACACCATTCCCATTCTTATACATCCCAAGGAAGAGTGTCCAGATGTGTATGGGTTTGAAATCCTTTGGGCTACTGTTAAGGGAAAACCTTGCTGATAATGGCTTTAAGGACATAGACCTTAATTAGCTGCCTGTTGGAGATGACTCTGGGGCTGGTTTAGTAGCTGCCATCTTCACCTGCCCACCTCTGTCTCTCCTGCAAGCAGCACTGCCTGCGCAGAAGGCTGGGGTGATGGGAGTTACACCACATTAGAGGGCACCCTGACTGGTTTTACTGGGAAGTAAATACAGGTGAAGTACCGATCTACCTTGACCTAGGAAGTATCATAAATGGAAATACGTTTACTACCCTTGACCTCCCAAACATCATAGCTTAGTCTGGCCTATCTTAACTGTATTGGAACACTTATATCCACCTATAGTTGGGCAAAATTATCTAACACAAAGTCTATTTGATAATAATGTGATGACTGTCTCATGTAAATTGTTGAATACTGTACCTAAAGTAACACAGAATGGCCATGTGGGTACAGACAGGTTGTCAGTGTGCTGGTGATTCACCCTCATGATTGGTTGGCTGACCTTGAAATCTGTGGCCCCTGGCCAGTGTCACCACAGAATCATCCCGCATAGCACCAGGATGGGGAAAGCTCCAAAATCACAAATCAGAGTTCAGTTTCTACTAAATGTTTGTCGACCCATCATAAGGTTGCAAAATTGTGCAGTAAAACTGTCATAAGTCAGGGACTGTCCGTATCAGGATTTGAACTGTCAGAGTCATCAGAAAGAAGTATTCTAGATCCCAGCTTTTAAAAAATAAAGTCTTGAAGGCATTTGCAGGTGCTGTCCTTAGGTACCCCTTTGCTTTTCTCACCGAGGCTGGCACATTTGTGGGCAGGACTGTGGGCTGGCCCAGCACTGCCCTTGGTGATTTTTCTCTCTCTGGTTAGCTCTTGTGTTAGGGTGATAGACACCTGGTGCAGTGCCATTGGAGTTCAAAGGAAGTGATGAGAGAGTTAGGAAAGCTTTCTGGGCTTTCCCTGGTCCAAAAACAGTTCTTGGAATTAAAACAGGCTCAAGGGCCTGATGTGATTGATGTTGGTGAGACATGCACCTTCTGAAGGCTCTTGTCCTCACTTGAGAGGATTCTGTCTTGATGGCCTCCATCGACGTCAGTTTGTTACGCTTCTCACCTTGTCTTCTTTATGGGCTCTGCTGTGACGGGGGACCATGTGGCCTCCCCAACACAGTGGCCTCTGGGATGGTGAGAGGGGGTGAGGCCTTTCTTCCATGCGATGACCAGGCAGGATGTGCTCTGGGCAGGGTGGAGGCACTCACAGGGCAGAGACTAGCTCTCCCTGGTGCCTCGGTCTGTTTTGTAAAATTTTGGACACTGCTGTGGTTTTCAGTCAGTCCCTTGGCCTGGAGTGACATTGGCAGCCATTCAACACCTAGGGCTTTTGAACACTGATCCTGAGGATATCAGGGTGAATTTGCCAGAGTCCTAGTCCTTGAGGGGCCTGCAGGCTGGTGGGGCAGGCTTGGAAATTGATAATAAGTAAGATGAAGTGTGAATATAGTGCTGGGGCCATGGAGGAGGGTATCCACCTGCCAGGGGTCTTGGAGTTGGCCCCCTGGGAGGGGGAACATAAGCTGGCTGTTGAAGGGCACCTGGGGGCTTTATAGAGTGTCTGTTGGCATCTGTACAATCACATTGGCCAGGAGCAGACTACTTGTTTTCTGTGTTATTTATAGCATCTTCTAAGGATGCACCAGAAGAAAATTGGAAGGCCAGGACATTGGATTTCTTTCAGGCTCTACTGTTGTCTGACTTCTATTGACCTTACAGCTGGATTTGCTCTGAAGGACTCACAGTTCCCTTGCACTTGTCACAACTCTCCCATTCTTGACCCACATCCATGGCAGGGGTGGCAGCAGTAAAGACCCTTCCCCCCATCTAGGCCCCATGTCTCCTTCCTTCCCTCTTTTTCCGAGGTTCTCCTTAATACTTTCTTCTCTGAGAGTTGTGTTCCTTTTTCCCATCTGTCTTGTCACCGTAGGTGCTCTGTGGGGTCATTGTACACAAGAGAGGTCATTGTTCTCAAGCCACTAATGCTCCTTAATCTTGTTATATCACCCCAGTGGCATGAAGGCCTAGGCTACCTAGAGGTAAAAGGGTCTCTTTGTGAGGCCTGGAGGGGAGAAAGTTAAGCCCTGGCTTAGGTGACCCATCCCTGAGCAGGTGTTTGCAATGAGAGCAGAATGGTGTGAGTCACTGTCAGCTTTTGTTGGCCAACCCTGGGGATCCACAGAAGGTACAACAGAGATGCTCTGCATCTATCAGGAACAGGGTTGGGGTGGTGATGGGGGTGGTGGTAGTCCATGTTGGTGATAAGTGTGCAGATGTTTATAAGGTTTCACCTGCTCCTGAGGCCAGGTGGGTTGATTTCTTCAGCTCTGAAGTGCCTGGGTGTTATCATCTGGGACTCTATTAATCAAGTTCTTTGAGAAAAGTACTTAATGAATTGAGAGGACTTAATGAAGGGGGGACATTTGACCCACTGGATGGGACCGGAAATCTACCATTTGTGCTTACAGATACAGCAAATGCTTCTGGGGGAATTCCTGATGGTGCATCTATTTCGCAAGTCCTGGCATCCTCTGTAGGGACGCCTCTTAAATGTATTACTATCTTCCTAATAAAATGGAAATCGGAACTTAATTGGTGAAATTTTAAATAATCATCCAACATCTGGTGGTTCATTTATGGCTTCAACCAGATGTGTTTTATTAACAACTTACTAGCCTTTATGATTGGGAAGCTAACCATTAATTTATTAGGAAATAAGCCACTTCTAAGACCAGGAAAAAGCATTTACAGGGCACATTGGCCCTTCTCACGGGTTATTTCATGCTCTAGTAAAACGCTGGGCTGAAGGCCTAGGATTTCTCTTGCTGGCTTAGTTCTTGTTTGGTTCTGAGAGCTTGTCTAAGTCACCTCCTTCTCTTGATATACAGGGCGAGACCCATCATTACGGTGGACGTCTCCATCTTCCTCCCAGCCTCCATCAACATCACAGCCCCTCAGTGTCACGATGGGCTGCAGCCTGTGAACTGCCTGAACGTCACCGCCTGCTTTAGCTTCCACGGCAAGCATGTTCCAGGAGAAATTGGTAATGAGCCACTGAGTTAGGGCTCGGGATGGCCATGTGAACTGGGGCGGGCTTGTGAGATTGTGGCTACTGATGGGTTCTTCTGGATTCTTTGCTCTCACTGTGCATTCTGGCTGGTTTTGCAGGCATCAGACACACAGGCCAGACACCCTTTCCCTCTGTGGTTCCTGATTTTTTATGTTTCTGGGAGTTTCCCAATTTAATGTAACTTCCAGTTCTAGAACAAAGAATATGTGACCCCAAGAATCCTTCCCCCAGATGTGTGACCATACTGAAACCTCACTGGGCCACAGGTGTCACAGGCCAGTGGAACTTGTGGAAAGGTAGTGACTGGAGCCTGGTCCTTGCAGAACATTCCATTCAGTTAGAAAAAAGAAGTGGTGAGTCTTTGGAGGCTTCCCCTGAGCCTGCAGCACGAGCCAGATGTCAGGGCCTTAAGCCCTTTACTGTGGAATCTGAGAGCAGGGATGGATGGTAGGGTTGGGATGCTAAGTTTTATGAAGGCTTAGTCTTGCAAAAGAGAGCAAGCTGCTTTGTCAGCTTCAGATGATTGAAAAGAGACAGCTGGCCCTGCTGTTTCTCTGGTTGGGGAAGGCCAGCTTGCCAGCCCAGCTCCAGAGACTGCATCAATTCCTGGAAGAGGATGGGATCAGTGTGGAGTAGAACTCAAGAGTGTGTGTGTGATCACCTGAAGGAAATGAATCTGAAACAGTTGTGCAGATTTTTAAAAAATATTTTATTTATTTATTATATATATATAGAGAGAAGTGAGCATGAGTAGAGGGGGCAGAGAGGGAGAGAGGGAGAAGCAGGCTCTCCGCTGATCAGGGAGCCCAATGTGGGGCTCGAGCCCAGGACCCTGAGATCATGACCTGAGCTGAAGGCAGATGCTTAACCGACTGAGCCATCCAAGTGCCCTCAGTTGTGCAGATTAAGTGGTTTGTTTTTACTTGAAAGGCTGATTTCATAATAGAAAATAGAGTTCTAGGAAAATTAAAAAAATAAAAAACCAATAAGGACCTGACTTAGTGCCTTTCTTAGACATTTTTAGAGTTAGGTGTCTATTCACAGTGGTTCCTGGATGCAGCAGTACCAGCATTCTCCAGGAGCTTGTTAGAAATGCAGAATCTCAGGCCTCACTCTGGATCTTAGAATTAAATCTGCATTTTAACAGGATCCTACAGGACCCATGTGCAGATTCATGCTTGAGAAGCTGCTCTGGAGTGTGTGTGTGTGTGTGTGTGTGTGTGTGTGTGCGCGCGTACACCCAGAGGTACAGAAGTACACTTTTCACTTGTGGTCTATTTCTCAGCTGCATATTGAATGTTGTACATTTAACAGTGTGCTAACCCTAGGCCAGCAGTCTCACTGATACTTTATTTGATCTTCAGGTGGATTGAATAAGTTCAATAATCAAACTTTGAACTTTTTCACTGAGATGTCTTTTTTAAAAAAAAATTAGAAATTTCAAAACTAAATGTAAACATTGTGAACTCACGACTGGGTTAGTGAGAAAGGACTGACAAACACTTTATGGATAGCCCAATGAGAAAAAGATCATGCTCAGTGAGAAAGTACTTGCTCAGGGTCACATAGCTATTGGTGAAGCCAGGAGTTGAATCCTGGTCATAATAGTTTTGCTTTCCACAAACTACTTCTCACCTCTTCCCTGATTATTTAAGAGATCATTCTCTAGGGAAAAACACTTTTTCTCTTGGTCCTGCAACTCATATGTTCTCTGCCTAATTAGATGGCATGTCTTCTGTCAAATACCAACTTATGATGTAGTTGGACTCCATTAAAATACATTATAAAAGAATTATTGAGTTGAAGGTTAACATTGGTGAGCATAAAACTAAGCAGAACTACTCTAGAACTCTAAAATAAGCAAGTAATTAATAATTCACGTGTGTTCATTTGACAAATGTTTATTGTGTGCCTACATGTGCCAAGCTTATCCTCGTGGAGCTTTGAATGGGAATTCCACAGTTTCTATTATTTTGAATCTGAACCATTGTACACAATTTCCAGGCTCTTTAATGACATCACTATTGTGGCAACAAAGGTGATTTGGCATAGCAGGGGCAAGTGAGAAGAAACCCACAATGCCAGTTTTAAGCAAGAGGGATTTCAGAGCATAAGACAAGTGGTAGAGCAAACTCTGATGTGAAGGGTTGTGGGCTGGAGGAGAGGTGGGTGTCTTCTCACATTGCTCCCCACCAGTGGGCCTTCTGGGCCCCAGTAACTGGAGCCCCTTTCATTGACCTCTAGGCAGAATTATAATGAAGTCTAGGCTTAACCATGACCCTTGAAGTGTTAGTTAATAAGGGGACAGGCATTTGGGTAGCACATGGTACTGCCTCTAGGGGGAGTATGGAGTGGGGAGGCTGCCTCCCACATGGGGGTGGTGGACTGAGCAGGAGAGCTTGCTTCCGTACCCTCCATCTGCCACATGGGCTTATTGTTGAAATCAAACATCCCTTGACTATCTAAGCAGTATTTCTCCACATATATTTAAGATGGAGGCCTAAAGATAATGATAACAGGGGAATTTTAGTATCAGTGGGGCAGTGCAGGAAATTATCCACCTGTTTTTCTTTGTCCTCCCCTGACATTCAGGGAAATGTGTTATATTTCCATCTTTGCAGAAATCTGGTGAAATAGGAGCTGGCATTGGAATATGGAGAGATTTGAGGAAGGGAAAATGGGCAGCTGTTATGGAAATGTGATAGAAATCAGGGAAGTGAAAGGTAGCTCTTGTGGGTCTAGCTGTGGTGGGGTGTCCCTGGGGTCTGACATAGAAGGCAGTGCCTTGGCTCAGCATGGTCAGGAAGATCAAGTTCCTGGTCTCCAGATGATGGAGGGTGGGGGCACCACCTTCCTCCGCTGTCTTCCAGGCTCAGCAGACTGGCTGACCAGTTTAATGTCATTGCCCAGGCCTCTGTGTTGGGAACACAAGGCTGGGGCTCTGGTGATGAGCCTTCCTCTCCCATTGCTGGCAGCTGCAGAGGAGCCTTGGTGGTGGTGGTTTTGGCCATGGAATGCCTGGCAAGTGAATGTCCACCTTGGTTAGACCTTCCAGGCACCTCTCAATGTCTGCATATCCAGGGCTGAGTTTGGTCTGTAGAATGGCTGAATTGGTGTGGTGTGCCTGGCATGGTGCGATAAAGAGGCACCAGTGGCATGCTAGGTACTTCTGAACAGTTGTCAGAAGCACTTTCTATCTGCTGGCATCTTAAGCCACAAGACCTCCCTGGGGATAGTTTGGGGAGCAATAGGCACTTCATGTTACTTATTAATAGTCTTGCCTCTTTGGTTTTTTTCTCTCCTTTAGGACCTGGTGGGGAAGGGACTCTATTCTCCTCTTCATCTTCTGCTTTAGCAGTGGAAAACCACAGCTCCCACTTGGTCTCAGGAGTGTTCAGGGCCAGCTGATTTACCAAACCACTGGAGGGGCAGCTGTGGCCTCTGGCAGTACCGTGGGAACAGTAGAGCTTTTCTGAAGGAGATGACTCTGCCTTGGCCCCTCTAATGGCAAGATCCAGTTAGGAAAACAGAAACCAGTTATTTTGACAGAATTTCACTTTAGGAATTGGTAAAGCAGGTTGTAGAGGACCTGGTAGTAGCTTTATTTTTTATTTTTTTTTAAGACTTATTTACTTATTCATGAGAGACATAGACTGAAAGAGAGAGGCAGAGACACAGGCAGAGGGAGAAGCAGGCTCCTCCCAGGGAGCCAGATGCGGCACTTGATCCGGGATCCTGGGATCAGGACCTGAGCCAAAGGCAGGCGCCCAACCGCTGAGCCACCCAGGCGTCCCTGGTAGTAGCTTTAAAAAGAACCCCCCCCCCAAAAAAAAGAAAGAAACTCCCACTTCTGGGATGGCACCTGGGGCTCTCAAAGCATGGTCTCCAGTCCAGCCAGCTGCAAGCAGCAGCAACACGTGGGGATGTTGGAAATGCACATTCTAACGGACTCAGACGGTGAGGTGGGGACCCAGTATTCTGTACTTTAGCAAGCCTCTGGGTGGCTTAGACTTGAGACCGCTGGTCAAGAGGACAAAGAGAAGAGGTCACACTTGGGGTGATCAGAACCTAGAAACTTGGAGAAGAGACCCTGCAAACCTGGGACCTAAACCTTGGAGGAGAGAAAAAAACTACAACTGGTATTAGCCACTGTTGGAACCAGCTGCTGGGGAAGACTAAAGCTGGGTTAGGCTGATGGGAACAGGAAGGTGCAGTACCTCCTCCCTCTGCCAGCCTCCCTCAGGCTGTCCATTTGGGTATAGCCTCCCATGGAACTGCTGGCAATGCAGAAATGAGGTTTGCAGAGCCCCGGACCCAGCCTCGCAGAGCAGAGTGGGCTGGAAGCTGAGAGACAATAGCTTCAGAAACCAGCACCACAAGTAGCCAGTCACGCAGAGTTATGGAGGCACCTGTTGTTGAGTCCTTAACCAACAAACAGTTAATTCTTAAGAGTGCCAGGCTATGTGCTCCTCGGACGCCAAGCAGAGGCCAGGCCAGACAGAGCCCTGGCCCTCATGGAACTTGCATTCTGCAGGAAGGGAGGCAGAGAAAAGCCACCGATGTCCCATCGCTCCTCCTGGATGTGTCCCGGGCCCTTTGTGTGGTAGGCCCTACATTCCACGCTGGGGTGCAGGCATGTGTCCAACTGTAGTGGTTCAAAGAATAGATTTATAACCCATTTCACCAAGCAGTTTAAAACAAGAGTTCTGCCCATCCCAAGTCTTATTAGGCACTTCATTCTTGGCCTGGGAAGCAGCTTGTCACTCCTCGAAACCTCCTGTCTGTCATAACTAAGGGTGGTGAATACCATGCCTGGAAGGTTCTGCCCCCTACCCATGGGCTGAGCCTCTACCAGCTTCCTGACCAGGCTGAAGCCTAAATGTGCTTGTCAGCCTCTGGAGGCTAGGGATTGAGCCAGCAGTCCTGGACTATGCCCAGAGTGCTAAATGAAAACCAGGCAGGGAAGAGCCCTAAGTGGTTGTGTTTTGTGCTCTGATCTGGCACCCCTCGTTTCCATGGCTCTCAGCCCAGCAGAGCTGTGAGCAAGCAGGGGTGCCCACTTGTGCCTGGGGACAAGCAGTGGAGCTAGATCGCGAGGGATGGCACCAAGTCATCTAAGCCAGTAGCAGAAGTAGGTTTAAAACCAGGTGACTTGTCCCCAGAACCCTTCCTCTGGCTTTAGGGGTGCATTTCCACTCCAGAGAGCATTCACAACAGAGAACGTTCTCCGAGCTCCTTGTGGTCTTGAGCAGCATGGAGATGGGATAATGAGGCAAATCCAAGTTATATGAGGAATGAAGTGACCTAGTCTAATAATTACCACTTTGTTCCTTTGGGGAGGGGAGGGTGGAGAAAGCTTAGGAGAACTCGTAAAGGGCAAAATATCTTTTTACCCCCTTCTCTTGGGAGACTCTAAGGGAAGCTCAGTAAGTTTGGGAGGAGCATTTATTAATAGAATTTCACAGCTGAAATCATGTTGTGATACAGAATGGGAATGAATCAAAAACTTTCTGGGACACAACTAGAGCTGAGTTGATGCAAGACAGCTGGCTCCCTCCTGGCACAGGCCAGTATGGGGGGCCCTTGGGAACCAGCAGGGGGCAGGGAAAGGAGGAGGCTGCAACATGACTTGGGGCTGGTCAGCTTTTCCATCAACATGACATCATTCGACATGGCATGGACACAAGCTGCCAGAAGGAAAACCTGAAGATGTGGACTTTGCGGTGGGAGCAGGCGATAATCAGAACCAGCACCCTCCCTGGACGGGCTGGCTGGCCTGGCTTACATTAGGGGCAGCCATCCTCCCACAGGGCTGGGCTGCTGGAGCATGCCAGCTGATTGGCTGCTTCTCTAGCATCTCTTCTACTTCTTAGGGGATCCCTTTCAGACACTCTTGGGGTAGGTACTGTTTAAAAGTGCCAGTTGAACTCAGGACTCCAGCATGGTCTGCACTTCTTGCCGCCCTGGCAGCTATGAGACCCTTCTCAGGATGAGTTTCCCATTGTGAGTCTCCTGGTGGCTTTCTTCTAGAAGAAAGAGTTTGATACGGAAGTGACTTCTTTTTGTGTGATTTAAAATGTCAAAGTAAATTTTAAATCAAGGAGGCAGATATAAAGAAGCTTTAAGCAGGCAGTTACAAAGATGTGAAAAGCTTCCAGAATGATTGCGCTTGGCGAATTGGTTAATTCGGCCTGTCTGTGATTGTATATCTTAACATTTTAGAAAAATCCGATGGGTAAACTTGTTGGCATACCCATGCTCTGCCTGGAACAGAGCAGTAGTTGTGGTCCTCAGCTCAGTTTCTAGTAACTGTGAGTTGTTTCTGTCCTCTTTTGAGTTGTAAGAGGGATATATTGGTTCAGAGATTCTACAGTGATACGGGGTTTTACAGGACTAAAGTGATGTTTGAACAGTATCCAGCACAGAGCTTGGCACATACTGAAGGTTGAATCCATTCCCTTTTCCTGACCTTCCCTATCTTAATTTAGGTCTCCCAGAATCAGAGTCTAAGGCAAGGATTTGGTGCACATGGCTGATTCAGGCTGTGGTCAATCCCAGGAAGCACGAGTAGGAAAGTGTGACAGTGAGACAGGAAGAGAAGGAAGCTGTGTCAGGTTCCGCAGAGAAACAGAACCCATCAGATGTGTGTATATTGACATTGTAGTTTGGAGGCATCCTGAATGCAGAATTCCTTTTTTGGGGGTGACTTTAGTCTTTTCCTCGCAAGGCCTTTATGTGATTAGATGAGGTCCACCCACATTGTGGAGGGTAATCTCCTTTATTTGAAGTCTACTGATTTAAACATAATCTCAATTTAAATACCTTTGCAGGGGTGCCTGGATGGCACAATCAGTTACATGTTTGACTATTTCTGCTCAGCTTGTGATCTCAGGGTTGTGAGATCGAGCCCCATGTCAGGCTCTCTGCTCAGTGTGGAGTCTGCTTAGGCTTTTTCTCTCTCTCTCCTGATCCTCCCTGCCACCTCCCTGCCATGCTCTCTTGCTCTCCCTCTCTCTCATAAATAAATCTTTAAAAAAATAAAAATACCTTTGCAGTGAATCCAGATTGAGTACTGCAGCCTAGTCAAGTTGAAACATAAAGTAAACCATCACAGCAGCCAAACAGAAGGTGTGTTGTTTTGAATCCTGCTGGGGAATCCTGAGAGTCCATGTAGAGCATCCCTTAGAGTTACTCCACCTAAGGGATGAGGGAGCTGGGGTCCTGCAGTGTTGAGGTCTGCTGCAGCGACTTTGGTTCTCTGGCACTTCTAGTCAGTCATGTATGTGGGTAGAGCCACCAGAGAAGCTCTCAGGAAAGGGGCTGTGGGTGCTGGCCGTTGCAAATTGGGCTGGACAACAGAGAAATGGTACAAGCCGAGAGGATATGGGTGGTGCGCTGATACTATCTGCTCTGTCTTCCTGTGATCATTTCTACCCCAGTTTTCTTTGAGCTCAGCTAGCTCATCACTGGCAAGAGGGTTCACACCCTCTGTTCTCCCCATGCCCACCCTTCCCGAGGGAGGGCAGCTCTTGCACCTGGGAGGAAGGCCAGGGAGGGGCTGCTCAGAGGAAAGCCCACTCAGCAGCTACCCCTGCCCAGCTGTGGCCTGGCTGCTCTTCCAGCAATGTCCATCTCTAGCTCTGGACTTGCCAAACAGAACTTGAAAACACAGTCCATTTATAATCCTTTCTTACTGTTTGGCTGTTGGTTGGGGAAATTGTGATCAGTAAAAAGTAAACAGGCCAGAGTTCAGTTCTGGAAAACTGCATGCATTTGGTTCTGCTGTCTGGGCATTCAAAAAATGTAAAAAGTGCACTCAGAACCAGTGTGGTAGGAATGAATAGCCCCACACTGGAGGTTAGGAGAGTTCTAGACTCAGCTCTGTGGTGAATGGCCCTTTGGCCTGGAGCAAGTCTGGTTGATATGGAGCAAGTCTGGTTTCCTTTTGGGGCCTCAGTTCCTCATCTGAAAAATGAAGGTTCTGAGCTGGAGGGTCCCTAGATTGCTCTGAAGCTTTCACATTCTATGTGTCTGCTCCATTACCTGGTGTCACTCACCAAAGGAGTCCATGTGTGACTCTCATCCTGGCTCTCGTGTTTTCTCTGTCATGTTACCTTCCCACATGCATTCTTTTCTTTTTTGTTACATTTCCTGTGACTATCCAGGTCTCAGGTCCCCCTGGTGACCCCGCCTTGCCTTGGCAATCAGCTGTTGGCTGAAATAAACAAGTTGGGGCAGACCAGACCAGCCCTTGCTGACCAGGAATCCGCCAGCTCGGCATGGCAAGATCCCTGAGATGGCAGAGACCCAGGAAAACCATTAAATGCATCCAAAATACACCCTGTGGCAGCTGCAGAAAGCCTGTCCTGGTCACTTTCCTCCCTTCTGGCTCGGATCTCCCCTGGTGGCTGATCCCTTTGATGTTATTAAAAGCTGGAGCCATCCCTGCTGCCCTGCTTCTCATACATCAGTGTGGGCAGGTGTGAGTGGCTTTTTACTGGTGCAAGAGCCCCAGCACTAAGGGGCTGGTTTCTGGAGACAGGGCAGGGTCATCTGTTTTCCCATGGCTCTGCAGCCTTATCTGGTCATCTTGGGGACAGAATGTTCTCTCTCTCTCTCTCTCTCTCTCTCTCTCTCTCTCTCTCCCTTTAAAAATGCCACATTCCCCTGAATCCACAAAGCAATGAAAAATAGAAAGGGTCACAGAGGGCTGATCCCTGCTGTGGTACAGAAAGGCAGTGAAATAGGTCTGTTAACACTAATGCCCCATTTGCCTAATAAAGCACATCATTGTAGGGAGGGTGACTGGCTCTGAAATTAATAAAGTCAAACCTCTTGGGTTTATCTAATGTGACTTTTTTTTTATTTTTATTTTTTTTTTAAGTTTCAGATTGTGTGACAATAGGTTCTCCCATCTGACATTACACATTTCAGGAAGAGGCAATGGGTTTCTCTCTTCAGGAGTGCAGCGCAGTACACCCAGCACAGGCCCCACAGGGGTCACGGTTCCACTGAAACGATAAGTGCTATGACATTCGTGATCCACATACTCGGCTCCCTGGGAATAAAGTCAGATTTAGCCTCTGTCGGAGTTTCCCTGAATGTAAGCGCCAGGAGGGCAGGGTTGCTCATACATATAGGCCCTGTGCCCCCATAATGGTGCCTGGCACATAGTTGGTGCTTGGGGGAGAGGTGGCACATGGTCCAAGGGATGTCGCGGTTATCGAGCACAACTCAACATCCGTGAATTGTTGGGTAATTGCTCCCTTGTGTTGGGCATTTTTCCCATTGCTTTATAAGAATTGGGATTATGAGCAGCCGTGATAATTTCTGCAGCTTCTAGGAATATTCTGTAGGTTCACCATGGTGTCTCCTTTCAGGACACCGACTGTGCTGGGTACAGCTAATTATTGATGTGTATAATGGTGACTCAGTTGGTAACTCATGGGCTTTATGGCAGGGAGGAGCCATGACATGTGATACACGGAGCATCACCAGGAAGGCAGGGGGCGGCCTCATTGTCTCTTGGTTCTGTGAGGATGCTAGCTGCGTGCTTGTCTCCGAGAAAGTGTTGACTTGGGGCTGCAGTCCTCGGTGCACTGGGGGGCCAGGTAGCATACGAAGTGTGCTTGTGAGCCTGTGGGGGGGAGCGCAGGTGGCCTTGTCACTGCACGTGAGTCCTCACTGATGTCTTGACCTTATTTATTGGCAGGCCTCAATTACATTCTGACGGCTGATGTGGCCAAAAAGGCAAAGGGCCAGTTGCCCAGAGTCTACTTTGTGTTACCGGGAGAGTCCGTGGGTCAGATCACAGAGAAGCTGCAACTGGTCTACATGGAGGAGACGTGTCATCACTACGTGGCCCACGTGAAGGTCAGTCCTCTTTTTCATTCTCCAGCTTTGATCTCTGTGGATGGATATTCATTTAGAACTTGTGGAAGCTACCTTTATTGTGTGTTATGTATGCTCTGACTTCTAACATTTTATTTCACAAGGAGAACATTCGTTTCTTCTTTTGAAGTTGAAGCCTGACAGCCCTTTTATTTATCTTACTGTGTTGGCCTCAGCATCTGAGGGGGAGTTATGGTGGGCCAGGAGACCAATGACACTCCCTGACCTTGGTTTGTCCTTTTGGGAGGCTTCTCCATCCTCCTCCCTCTTTGAAGCTCTGTAGTCTTCTCGGAGGACGCCACAGAAGTACATTGTCCGGGTCTGCAGTGGTTCTAGATCACACTGCACCTGATGGCTTTCTCAGTAGTCTACTACACGTTAGCTCATAGTCATGGTTAAGGCGCTTTAAAACTAGTTGGACTTAAAAACTAGGTTTTTATCCCTTGATTACTTTCTGTTTATTTTAGGAGTGCTTTTTTTTTGGCCCCTTTTCCCCTCTTACTCTAAATAAACTTTCAAATGTTTTTTCCCTCTTGAGATTGTTTGTTAAATATACTTTGCTAATTTGGGAGGTCAGGCTTTGATTAGCTACAGAGTGGCCTCTGTGTAGACAGGTGCTGGCAGGATGGGAATCCTGATGGTGCCTGGTGCTGCAGGGATAGCCAGGCACTGACCCACAGGCAGAGAGCACAGGAGATAGAAGGATCTACATGTACCCAGCACATGGTGCTTAAGACGAATGTGGGGTTTGGAGTCACACAGACCCTGGTGTGTGTCCAGCTGGATGAGTACTCTGACATCTGTGTGTCTTGGTTTTTGCATCTCTAAAATGGGCACATAGGGCAGTGTGGGTGGCTCAGCGGTTTAGCACTGCCTTCAGCCCAGGGTATGATCCTGGAGACCCGGGATCAAGTCCCACATCGAGTTCCCAGCATGGAGCCTGCTTCTCCCTCTACCTATGTCTCTGCCTCTCTCTCTGTGTGTCTCTCATGAATAAATAAAATCTTTTTAAAAACTGAATAAAATGGTCACATATACTTAAAGGACCTGACATGGAGTCTGACCCACAGCAGGCAGTCAGCATTACTGTCTGTTTGGGCCATATGGAATGGTCAGTATTCTAACATTGCTGACTTAGGACAATGTATTTTCATGTAGTTCAACCTGATATTAGCCAGTGGCTTTCTGGCCGAGAGTAAAAATAGTTCATAGCTTAGAATCTCATTCTGTTATTGAGCTGTTAGTACCAGAGGAGGAGAATAACAGCTGCTTCTTAATACTTCTGGATTGGATATAGAGAAATGCCACACACATGCATGGCACTTGGTCTGGCCAAGAGCCCATGAGTCCGTGCCTCTGAGATGCTTTTCATTGGGGCTGGCCTATGTCTCTTGCCAAGACTCGTGTTGGGGCCTGCCCAGACCAGCTGCCCTCTGGCCCTGGTGAAGGCCATTTATAAAGGGGTCCGTGCTTCTATTACATCAACCAGCCACTCATGCCTCTAGGTCTTAGATTACATTGGTTCATGGGTGCCCTTGGAAGCATGAGGCTGCCCAGGACAGGCTCACATCTGAACACTGTGAGACCTCTAAGTGCCTGTGCTGGATGTCTCCATACTTCCCAGTGGTGAGGCATCTGCCTTCGGGCTTCCTCATGCTGAGTCTCTTCCACAGATGCTTTCCTTCAGGTCTTGTTGTGACTTTTCACTTTGGCTGAATGGTTCACTTTCTTGTGGCCTCAAGATAGGGCCCCCAAGTGCCTGCAGTCCTTTACAGAGTTCACTCAGGGAACAGCAATAATGTGCTGGCCAGAGGCAGAGCTGTTTCTGTGGTGCCGTCTGAGGGTAAACGGGAAGAAGAGCAGGGCTGCCCAAGGCTATAGGCCTTGCTACTTTCTGATAGCCAGGGCTGCCAGAGTCTAGAAAATAAACATAAGGCTTCCTCATTAAATCCCAAAGTCAGATAAGCAGCAAATGTTTTTTTGTAGAAGTATAGCCCAAATAGTGCATGGGATATACTTATGCTAAAAATTATTTATTGTTTATCTGAAAATTCAGATTTAACTGAGCATCCGTTAGAAGATTCAACCATCCCGATACCCTTCACCCCACAGTTTGGTACTTTTCCATTTGATCAAAACATGATTGACGGGGGTTCCCATCCCTTGGGTGAGCTACACAGCCCCCAAAGGGGCCAGGTGGGGACATACTCTGGAGTCTATGGGGCAGCTGGTCCCCCACACATCCCCACGCAGATGCGCTCTTTGGCATCCAGATGCCAGGAGATCTGCTCCTCGCTCCCTGAGGGTGAGTCTGTGGAAGCCACCCTGAAGGAGTTTTTAAAGCAAATCACTGGACACCAGTTGTGCTAGAATGAAATTCTGGAGTGGCTTGCCTGGATGGCTATGTGAGCACAGCCTTGGAACAGATAGCAGAATTCCTGGATGGAAAGGGACATGTTTCTCCAAGGAGACAATGAGTCGTACCTAAACACACAGAAGAGACGGATGCAAAGGCTCCAAGAGTATAATACTTTCATACTCAGTTATATTTCTTCGTGAGCTTTCTTAGTTCTTCCATGATATGATTTGTCCTATTCCATAAATGTTGGGGATTTTTTACCAGCATGTGAGATAAATGTGTATAGTTGCAGATTTAATTGTAAAGGGTTCCCTCATATTGAAGCATCACTTTCCTCTAACTCTGTGTCATTGTGTAGAACACAAAAAAGAATAAAAATATCTAAAAAAATATGGAACTGTGGCTTTTAAGAAGAAAGGTAGTGTGGTCAGAAGATTTTGGAGGGTTGAGGGCAGCTCAGGAACACTGAGCAAGCACATGGCAATATGTGATGATTTGAGTCCTTTTCAGGGAGAGCAAGAGAGCAGTCCAGTACATTGGACCTGGAGAAGTTTGGATATGATTGGTACCTGGCTGTTTTCTCATACACACAGTGGCAATATAGAGGATAGAGAGACACAATTGTTGTCCAGAGGGAGAGCATTTTAAGGTTTGAGGCACATTACAGAGCTGCCTTGTAGTTTATAAAGGCCCTCATTCCTGCTGCTTGCACAAGTCCTGGAGGGAGCAGTTGCTCCTGAGCTCCCATTCGTGAAGCACTTTCCCGTGTGGCACAGGCCACGAGGGGCAGGTCTGGCTGGTCTGTCACGTGGTCCTGGGCAACCCGCTTCACCTTTATTGTAAGCCTCCAGTTCTAAGCCCGAACATGGGAAGGAGAGTCTCCACTCCATAGTAGGGGGCCGGGAAACATGGGGCCCGTTTTTCCTTCACTAGCCCATAAATCTGTGACTCTACCTTGCTGCCTTGTTTGGAATGGGTCAAGACTCATTTCATAGGTGTTCAGGGGATTTTTATTTTAACGATTAGAAGCAGATGGTGAAAAGAAACTAAGAAGTATGGCACAAACAAGAAATCTACATGGGAAGAGAGGAGGCCAAATGGTAGCACAACGGACGCCTTCCTTCACCTGGAGCAGAGTGAGTTAGGCGAAAGGCCGACTTACACCTTCATGAGTCAGTTTGCAAGGGCCTCTTAGACTTCAGTGTGTGCACAGTCACCAAGGGCCTACGTGAAGTGTTGAGTGCAGACCCTGATGCAGCAGATCTGGGGTAATTTCTAACCAGTTCCCCCATCACACCCATGCTTCTGATCCACAGACCATGCTCTGCAAAGCAAGGAGCCAGAACAAATAGGTGTCAAGATTTACAAGTAGAGTCAAAGGAGGAAGGCCATCAGCTGGCAGTTTCCCAAGAATCAGAAGCCAAGGGGCATTGGAGGGGCCAGCTGCCTCTCCCCTGACCTTGCTGTTGGGAGAGTCCCCTATCAGTGAGGACGGAACATAGTTCTCCTTGTAATGCTCTGGCTTGACTGTGACCTTGTGTGATGCACTGGTTCAGGCTGGTGCTTGCCGGTATATATACATGGGCATGGTGGGATGCATCAGGAAGGCACACACTTCTGTGGCCTTTGTGGTTCAAGAGGCAGTATCCCTGTTAAGTGGCGCTCAGGTGGCTGAGTGTTTATGGCCACCAGGAAAGTTTATTGACCAGTTGTTGTCTGGGCTGTAGTAGAGGTCCCTGGTGAATGGCCGAGGCAACCAGTGAAGGCAGACACTAATGAGCTGGCTGACTGTATGTGGTGTGGCCCAATGGCCCAGATGGCCAAGGAGGCAGCAGGCCTGGCCCTGGTTTGTCCATTGTGGAAAAACAGCTGGGGAGGCAGTGGCTCTTGTGGGAGTTGAGACAGGCAACACGGTGGGGAGGGAGTGGCAGCAGGTGGCTTCCTGGAGCAGGGACTGGGGACTGGACTGGGAGCTTGTCATCTGAGCATGAGGGCATGGTGTAGCCTCTGGTGCAAGTGGAGCCTTCTCAATGGGCTGGCTTTGTAGACAGTGACGGAAGGTAAATAAAAGTGCTCCGGCTTATCACATACCATATGGCTAGCAGACTGTGAGGCAGGCGCTAGGGGCTGGGTGTGTTTTGTTTAGGCTATCTTTAGGGTTCCCCCCCACACACTTTAAGCCTATTCCAATCCTCTTTTTTTCCTCTCTCTCTCTCCCTTCCTTTTCCCTAGAAGTTTTCCTTCCATATATGGTGATAAGTATCTCTACCGTGGAAGACTGTTTGAGCTAACACCTGCCTCCCAGGCTAGCTGTGTTTTGTCCCATGCTTTGTTCCCTTCTCAGCCCTGATGGGGCCTTCAGGATGTACAGAATTTTGTAATAAGCCCCATCCTCCTGGGGGTGCCAGGTCCATTCTCAGGGGCTCACTGTGGCTCACAGAGCTGATGTAGTGTAGGCTTCTTCCCTGGCCTCTCTGTCTCAGAGTCCATGTGCCCCAGTTTATCTTCTCTCCTCCCCAGACCAGCCCAGTTTTGGAAATCAGCTCCTTCTAGTGATGTGGGCTGGAGGTGTCTTGAGGGGGGGGGGTCTCCCCAATTGCAGGGGAAAGCCCTCGCATGTCTG